AGGTGGTTGCCCGATATGGAGACAGAGAGGTCCAGGAAGGGGAGAGAGGTGTTAGAGATGGTCCAGGTAAACTTAAGGTTGGGGTGGAAGGTGTTAGTGAAGTGTATGAACTGTTCGAGCTCCTCGTGGGAGCACGAGGCGGCGCCGATACAGTCATCAATGTAACGGAGGAAGAGGTGGGGTTTAGGGCCGGTGTAGGTACGGAAGAGGGATTGTTCCACGTAACCTACAAAGAGGCAGGCGTAGCTTGGGCCCATGCGGGTACCCATGGCTACCCCCTTTGTCTGTAGGAAGTGGGAGGAATTGAAAGAGAAGTTGTTGAGTGTGAGGACGAGTTCGGCTAAGCGGATGAGGGTATCAGTGGAGGGGGACTGGTCGGGCCTGCGGGACAGGAAGAAGCGGAGGGCCTTAAGGCCATCTGCATGGGGAATGCAGGTGTAGAGGGACTGGACGTCCATGGTAAAGATGAGGTGTTGGGGACCGGGGAATTGGAAGTTCTGGAGGAGGTGGAGGGCGTGGGTGGTGTCACGGACATAGGTAGGGAGTTCCTGGACTGGGGGGAGAAAATGGAGTCTCGATAGTTGGAGATCAGTTCGGTGGGGCAGGAGCAGGTGGAGACAATGGGTCGACCAGGGCATTCAGGTTTGTGGATTTTGGGAAGGAGATAGAAGCGGGCAGTGCGAGGTTGGGGAACGATGAGGTTGGAGGCCGTGGATGGGAGGTCACCTGAGGTGATGAGGTTGTGGATGGTTTGGGAGATGATGGTTTGATGGTCGGGGGTGGGGTCATGATCAAGGGGGTGGTAGGAGGTGGTGTCGGAGAGCTATCCCCTATTCCCAATTCCTTCGCCTCCGCCGCATCTGCTCCCAGGATGAGGCATTCCACTCCCATACATCTCAGTTGTCCTCGTTTTTCAAGGACCGTAACTTCCCCGCCTCGGTGGTCGAGAACGCCCTCAACCGTGTCTCCCACATCTCCCGCACCTCATCCCTCACACCCCGTCCACGCAATAAGAACCAAAAAAGAATCCCCCTCGTCCTCACGTACCACCCCACCAACCTCCGGATCCAACGCATCATCCTCCGACACTTCCGCCATCTGCAATCCGACCCCACCACCAAAGACATCTTTCCCTCCCCACCCTTATCTGCTTTCCGGAGGGACAACTCTCTCCGTGACTCCCTTGTCCGCTCCACACTCCCCTCCAGCCCCACCACACCCGGCACTTTTCCCTGCAACCGCAGGAAGTGCTACACCTGCTCCCATACCTCCTCCCTCACCCCCATCCCAGGCCCCAAGAAGACTTTCCACATCAAGCACATGTTCACCTGCACATCTGCCAATGTGGTATACTGCATCCGCTGTACCCGGTGTGGCTTCCTCTACATCGGGGAAACCAAGCGGAGGCTCGGGGACCGCTTTGCAGAACACCTACGCTCGGTTTGCAATAAACAACTGCACCTCCCAGTCGCGAACCATTTCAACTCCCCCTCCCATTCCTCAGACGACATGTCCATCCTGGGCCTCCTGCAGTGCCACAACGATGCCACCCGAAGGTTGCAGGAACAGCAACTCATATTCCGCTTGGGAACCGTGCAGCCCAATGGTATCAATGTGGATTTCACAAGTTTTAAAATCTCCCCTCCCCCTACCGCATCCCAAAACCAGTCCAGCTCGTCCCTGCCTTTCTTCCTCCCACCTATCCCCTCCTCCCACCTCAAGCCGCACCTCCATCTCCTACCGACTAACCTCATCCCACCCCCTTGACCTGTCCATCCTCCCTGGACTGATCAATCCCCTCCCTAACTCCCCACCTACACTCACCTTTACTGGCCCCATCCCCGCCTCTTCGACCTGTTTGCTTCCTCTCCTCTATCCATTTTCTATCCGCCTCCCACTCTCTCCCTATTTATTTCGGAACCCCCTTCCCCTCCCCCTTTTCTGATGAAGGGTCTAGGCCCGAAACGTCAGCCTCTCTGCTCCTATGATGCTGCTTGGCCTGCTGTGTTCATCCAGCCCTGCACCTTGTAGTCTTAGAGTTGAGTTTGGAGTGAGACTTCTGTGGAATTGAGTATCTTTAAAAATAGTGTTGGTAGTACATTGAAGCTTTGTTTTGACGTTTGTGTTAAGATCTTTCTAACTATCTTCATGGCTGTATTTGTTTTGTTTCTTCTGTTCTTCAACAATACAAAGTGGGTTTATTGCATCTGCAGCCTCATGAGAGTACTTCAGTGACTAAGTAAGGTAAAGTTGCCATAGTCCCAAAGGACCATGGAGCTGTAATGAGAGACAGATGACTAGTGGTGGTGGTTGAACTTTAGGATGACCACGCCTAAGGTGAGGGGAGAGATTGAAAAGGAGAATCCTTAATGATAACCTCAACCAGTGTGGGTATTGAATACGTGCTGTTGTCATCTCTCTGCAACACAAACCAGCTCTCCAGCCAACTGAGCTAACCAACTAATTGCTATGATAACCAACTGTGGGGGAAAAATAACAATAATTAATCAAACCAGCTTTCATTCTGGGATCTAACTTGACTAGTATTACCAACAGCTGGGATTTTTGCAGTATATAGTTCTTTTTAATGTAATAAAATATCCCAAGAGAGTTCTACATCGGAATGTTATAAAACAAACCTTGAAATTAACCCCATAAAGCAATATTAAGATAGGTGGGCAAAATGGTAGTTTTTTTTTAAGGAACATCATAAGGAAAGAAAGAAAGGAATGTGGAAAGAATGTTAGATATAGACAGGTGGTGGCACTACCGTAAATGATGGATCAAATAAAATTTGGGGTTATCAAGAGGCTAGAAATAGAATACAAATTTCTGAGTAATATAGTGCTGAAGGAGATAACTGAGATAGGGAGGAGTGAGGTCATGGCAAAACTGAAATCGAGGATGAGAATTTTAAAATCAGCATATTACTTGACCAAGTCCCAGTGTAGGTAAATAAGCAGCTATTAATGGATGAAGAAAACTTGATACAAGTCAGGACAGGGTTAACAGAGTTTTGGCTGAGCTAACATTTATGTAGTGCAGAGCAATGGAATAGGTCAAGAGCTCTAGATTCAATCTGGAGCTAACAAAGGCATGGATGAGAATTTCAGCGACAATGGAGATAAGTCAAGGATAGAGTTGAGCTGTGTTGCACAGATAGAATTAGGTGGGTCTTGGTGATGCCACAAGTAAATGTTTGGAGGCTTATATGAGACAGGCATGATACCAAACAGTTTATTTCAGACTCAGATAGTTACCAGGAGATGGATGAAGTTAGCAGCTGTGATATAAAGTTTATAACAAGATCTTCAAAGACTTGGCCTTTGAGATTATTAGTTGGAAAAAATTTTGCTTGCATGTAATGAATATTAGACAAGCAGTCTGACAATTAATCAAAAGTGGAACAGTCAATGAGGTAGTGTGAGATTGAGCTGGGAATCCAAAATTACGGTAAATCATAAAAGCACAGTACTACAAATTCTGGATCTTCAAGATAAAATCAGAAAATGCTTGAAATACTAGACATGTCAGATGGTATCTGTGGAATGAGAACTAAAAACCTTTTCAGTCTCTGGCCTTTTGTCAGAATGACAAAGATCAAAGCAAACTTGTTTAAATATCTCTAGCTGTATCATTATGTGGCTCAGAAGCAAGAGATAGTCAGCAAGTTTTTATTCTTTTATGGTATGTGAGAATCATTTACAAGGCCAATATTGTTGCCATCCTTTATTTCTCTTCAGAAAAGTGGTTTCCTCTGTCATTTTAATGGGCATTTAATCAACTACGTTGTTCTGGATCTGGAGTTACATGTAGACCAGGCTGGGATGGTAGATCTGATCCCCTAAAAGGCATTATACCAATGATAGTTGTCACAGTCACCATTATTGAGATTAGCTTTATATTTCTGATTTATTAACTGAACAGGGGCAGGAAATAATTGATGTCCCCAGAAACTCTTTTTTACAATATTTATAAATTATTTAGATCAAGGATTAGATACCAGTGTTTCTGGGTTCTGGATAATACAAAATTAAATGTGGATGGGAGCAGAAAAATTGTAAAGGGACTTTGAAAGATCAAGTGAATGGACAAAAATTTGTTTTGATTTTGGAAACGGTGAAGAAGTTCATTATGGTATTATGTGTTTTTGAAAGTTTGGATGAAAACAAAAGAAACTGAACCAACTGTTTAACTGAATTTAATACTGAGTTTTCGTTTATTTTCTTTCTAGTGACTTGATTTGTTTCTCTCGATGGAGACTATGCAGCACAGTGAAGAGATGTTGAGGACTGCACTAATATCTAACCATAAAGATGTGATTGACCTGTATCAGAAATTCAGTCCAAGGGTGAAACGCCTACTGGAAGAAGCTTTTCGGCCAGATAGCACCCTTTTTAAACCCATTGTGTTACATTCGAAGTCTGACTGGATCCTTAGCCACCCGGAGCCAAAGCAAGATTTCTATGCATTTTACAGTAGTCCGCACAGGAAATCACCAGTTCCTGGGAGAAACATTATTTACATTCAGACCATTGGTATGATCCTATAGTGGTCACTTAGCTCAGTTGGCTGGATGGGTGATTTCTGATGCACAATGATGCCAGCAGCGTGGGTTCAGTTCCTGCACTGCATAAGGTCCATGAAGGTCCTGTCTTGTCGTCCTTGCCCCTCCCCTGAGGCATAGTGAAACTCACAAATGGACATCTCTCTAATGAGAGAGCAGCCCTATGGTCCTCTGGGACTTTGGCAACTTTATGTTATGGTTCTATAAAGTTATTTCTTTCAGAATTTTGACTGAGGAATCTTCTCATTTTCTGATAACAAAAGCATTTTTTAATATATTCATAGTTGTTACATGTTGTACCGTTTTTCTCACATCTCCATCCACCATGTAAAACCCTCACCTGCTCCCTTCCTGTCTATCCAATATTCCTGTTCTCAGTCCTCTGTTTGCTCACATTATCAGCCTCTGTTTACTTACTATTTATCCTAATTTCCCATGTTGAAAATCTTGACATGTTTTAAATTGCACTCCTGATGCACCTTGTTCAAGGTTAGTATAATTTTGTTGTGCCCTCAGTGCTGAGATGTAGCAGCCCAAAACACTTAAAGAGAAACAAAAATTGAATTTTGTGGCTGAATTTCATGCTTTTATTTCTTCTTAGAAGTAACATGTCACATTGAAAATGTTAGACAGGGTTAAGCTAAGTACATGATTAGCTACCTTTTGCAAGATGGCGGAAGTTTACAGACCAGAATGCAACATTTTTTGGATGCTTTCTACATAAGGAACAGTTTATGAAACTTCACTTGATGCTTCAAATCTGTGTTGTGCTATTATTAAATTTGTTCACTTCGATATTTTAGTCACAGCAGTTTAGACTCCAATTTGTTTCTGTGCTCCACTGTAAATGGCAATTCTGATCCGAATGATTGATATCCTGTAAACAATTGATTTAATGTCATCATTAGAGATCCAGTATTGCCTTTAGTTTCACTACCTTCAGTGTTGAATGATGCAATTTGGCTGCGTTTATACCACAAAATGTTCAGCTTCTAGCCAGCAGAGAATCCAGTTTAATTTGAAACTACAGCATATTTCACAGCTCAATAGGGCTACTACTTTAATAACTATAATTCGGGAGTGTGAGTGACCACTTTGTTTTATTAATGAAGAAAGTTGTGCGGTCTGTAATTCTTGACTAATACTGTTCATTTACTTGCTTTAAGCTATTTGGGTTGAAACGTAATTTCCATCTGACAAAATATATAATTCGATTCATCTTTCAAATAGAGTAAGTCACAACAGCGTCACAGAAAATAAGGATTATTTTATTCTTGTCCTTAGATTTCCCTGTTATTTAGTTGGATTTGGACAAAAAAAAACTAGATTATAGCCTTGTAGGAGTGAGCATAAACAATCTAAGATAGGTAAAAGGATATGTTATAAACACAGGAGCACTACACTGTGTAGGAATTTTAAATGTGAATCTGTGATTGAGGTAGCGTGAACCTAAGACTACAGAGGGTAATTCCTATGCTGTCTAGGTGCACCGAGATAATTGCTCCTGTGCAGTGTTTCAGATTAATCAAAGATCGGATTATCTTTCTTGTATTTTTCTACTTAAACATGTTTCATGTTGATATGGGAGTTTTTGTGTTGTAAATTATTAGCAGTTCTAGATTTCCATTGTCCATTGTGTGACACATATGTATGTGTATGCCTTGAAAAAATAAAACACACAACTCAGAACATTTTCATAAATATCTACATTGATTAACTCATCTGCTTATATGCTGCAAATTTATGTCCATACCAGTATAATATTCAGATCATATGTTCATACAAACATGAGAAAAAAGAACAGGAGTAGGGCATTCAGTCCACTGAGTTTGCTATGCCAATCAGTGCTATCAAGGCTGATCTTATTGTGGCCTTAACTACATTTTGTCCGATTATAACCCTTGACTCCTTTGTGGATCAAAAATCTATCTACCTCAGACTGAAATATATTCAGTGACCCAGCCTCCACTGCTGCTTATAGAATTCTAAAGACTTGTGACTGAGAGGAAAAAAAACTCATCAGTGTCTTCATGGGAAATGCTTTAATTTTAAAGTGTCCCCAGTTCTAGGCTCCCACAGCATAACTTATCTTTTCCAAAGATCAATTTGTCTCCCAGTTGTGGACAAACTTTTGTTATGTTTTGTGATAAAAGTAGTAAGGATTTAAGAATCTGTAATAAATGAAGGACAGCCAGCAGAATGTAAGTAAGGCTAGTTGTGTTTGGTGAATGAGAGATTATTTTTAAAGTTGGCTGCATGGATGAAAGCAATGCAGTCAGTGATGTTCAAAATGCAATTAATAAAGTACCTCACAAGAGACTTGTGTGATAATAAAAGATTGCCGCATGAACAGAAATGATGGACAGGAAGCAAAAAATGGAGTAAATGAGTGCTGTTTGGATTTGAGAGTGGTCCAAAACCATGTACTGCATAGTCAATGTTAGACTCCTTTTGTTCCTGACATCTCTAGTTGATTGAATTTGGGTAGAGGGAACATGATCTTTAAATTTATTAATGAAACAGAACTCGCAGATTTTACATATAGCAAGGAAAACTGAATGACATTAGTGGAATGTCCAGACAGGTGACAAATACAATTATTGTGGAAAAAAAAGTGATGGGTTATGCATCTTGGGAGACCAATCAAATAATCAGATGATATATGTTGACAAAAGATAAAGGTTTCAGCTATGCAGAAACCCCTATTGATTTGGAGACAAAATTCACCATAAACGTGAAGTGTTTTTTTGTTTATCTCTCTCTTATTTCCTTTGCTTTTGATGACAGCCATTTGGGTTTCTGTCATTCATACCTTCTCTGGACACGTGACTTGTTTCTTGTCTCATTACCACTTCCTTTGGCCTTGTACCATGAAGGTTTAACTATTGAATCTTTTCCATCGTCCACCCCCCACTTCCTTTGGCCTTGTACCATGAAGGTTTAGCTATTGAATCTCTTCCATCGCCTACCCTCACCGTGAACTATTTTTTTACAACAAAAACAGAAACTGCTGGAGAAGTTCAGGCCTGGCAGGATCTGCGGAGAGAAATCAGAGTTAATGTTTTGGGTCCAGTGATTGTTCTTCAGTACTGAAGTTCTTTTATTACACTTTTGTTTTTACTCTTCCAATCCTGCACCCTTTCAACGTTTAAAACCTATTACATTTCTATCTTTTCCTAATTCTGATGAGTTCTTCACAAATGGAGCTAGAACTGCCGAGGATTTCCAGAGTTCACAATATTTTGCTTTTGCTTTACAACATCTTGCCAGTCAACAAAATAAAATTATGATTTTTGGTTTTTGTACTGGTTGACTGGTGACTTGTTTTTTGAAATGTATGAAAGATTTCTGATGCTTTTTTAATATCTGAACCAGCCTTTTCATTAATATTGATAGCCAGTAACTTAAAATTTCCAAAATTTTTTAAACTTTTTGCTTACTATGTGTAGTATTTTCTGTTTTCAGGTTCATTTGGTGATTCACAGACAACTACTGAGACATACATACACTGGTTAAAGGAATACTGTGAGACATTTTTCTATGGTCTGAAGATCAAATTTTTGGATCCTGTTTCAGTATCCCAAATTGGTTGTGTGTTCCGTGTCAATACATATTCGCACAATCTGCAGATACGTGCAGGTAATACTGCATATTAAACTATTTTCCTATATGTTGATAAAAGTGGTGTGTGTATTAGAAATTGCAGGATAGTTATCGATTTGTAATAGTATATCCACTATTAACAGTATATCAAGTTAAAGTACAAGATGAAATGAATGGAGCCACTGTGTCATTGTGTCTTCTCAAGAATTCAACATTCAGACAGATGGAAATTGTTAGACTGAAGGTTTTCAAAGTGTGTGCACTTATGTAAAATTTATAAAAGTAATTTTTGTAGGAAGAAAAGGTGTTAGTAATGTAGTGCAACATTTATTTCCTCCATGTTCTAAGCCTGTTTGAGATAGCACAACTCTTTAGCTGACCTATCTGTAATCACCAAACTAGTTGCACTTGATCTGCAGGGCTGAATGTGGTCCATTCCTAGATCCGTGGACTCTGTTTGGACTGAACACCTAACTGACTATGGCTAAGCCTCTTGATTGAGCGTGGCTGTACTCCTTGACTTATTGTGGTACCCCTTGGCCCCACCAAGGACTGTTCCCTTTTTAAGTTCCATACATGGTCACTTGGTTGAAACACATGTAGAAACAAGTCCAGCCCCTTTTGACTATTCAGCACTTTCGAGCAGCATGCCTCTCCCCCGTGCCAAAAAATAATGCAAGTCATGAGACTGGAAGCCTAAGTTAGTGTAAGGTGAGCGAGTGTTAAGAAACAAAGCTAAGAGCCATAAGATACTAATGTATTAATGTATGTGTATGTGTCCCTGGCAAAAACATGCAAATTGTAGATATTCAAACTGCAAAGTATGGCGCTGAAGGGTTGCAACAGTATAAGAGTTGGACCAAAAGCAGACATGATGATGTGGTGAGGCTGTTGGTTTACTGATGTTGACTTCCATGAACAAAAGGTGGAGGAGGACTATGTACATGTAGCATGCAGGGACGTTATGAAAACAGAGTGGATGAAAGCCTGAGATTTGGCAAGTGATGAGCTATTAAATATCAGCATCTTTCAAAGTGAGATTTATAGGTAGCATTTTTTTTAAACTGGACAATTACTGTAACGTAAGAAAGTAAAATTTCTTTCAGCTTGGGCAGGGTAAGCAAGGAAAATGGAGGTTGCTGATTAATCAGGTAAACTGGTTCAGTCTAGTTCTTGCACTGTAGCAGAGTATAAATGCATAGGTCTCCATCTAGTTTGCAAACGGAGTGCACATTTCAAACAGTCAGTTTCGTTAATGGTGAGCTAGGTGAAATAGGGGGGAGAATTTTTTTTCAAAGGTCCTACTTTATTTACTTCTTTCATTATCCACTGCTCAGCTCATACTTTAGTGCAATGGAAGGATGGATCAGTGAATAACTGGTAAGATATGTTATTATAGGGAATGTTTAATACACTTAAAAGTTGGCCTGACAGATTAATAGAAGCAATTTTCATAGCTAGGCTGAGTGGAATATATAGCCAGTGGAATGTAGGAAGTCATGGATATATTGTGTCCAAGATGGACACATCTGTAGGTGATGTCACATGTTTGAACTCCTAGTTTAGGAACCTGAGCAGCAGTTGGAGTCACTTTTGTGTATTTGTGAGGCAAAGAGTACACGGATAGCACATTTAGGGAGGTGGTTGCACCACAGCTTAGTAGTGTGCAGACAGACGAGAAATGGGTGAACATCAGGCAGTGTAAGAGAGCCAAGCAGGTACTGTAGGAATCCTCTCAGGCAATCTCATTTGTGTACCATTTTCAGATTTGGATACTGGTAAGGGTGATAGTATCAGAGGAATGCAGTCAGAGCCAAATCTGTGGCACTGTGGGCAGCTAACTTGTACAAAAGAGGAGGAAGAGGAGCAGAAGAGCAGTACTGCTAGGGGAATATTTTTGTTAGCTGGGCAGGGAGGGGGCCAGAGGTTGTGTTCCATGTTTGTGCCAACGGCTGAGCTAGGAAGGGGGATGAAGTTTGAAAACAGATTTCAGGGAGTTAGGAAGGATTTTGAAAAGCATGACATCCAAAGTAATAATCTCACGATTACTCCCAGTCTCATGTGCTGGTAAGCATAGAACAGGAGAATTGAACACATTGCTAGAAAACTACTAAGAAGGAGGGCATCATATTTTTGAGACATTGGCACTTATTCTGAGGCAGGTGGGACCTGAACAAATGGATAAGTTAGTCCTAAAACTAACATCCTTGTGGGGAGATTTGTTAGTGCTATGAAGAAGGTTTAAATTAGATTGGAAGGTGGATGAGAATCTAACATGGAGATCAGATTCAAGAGAAGCAAAACTAGTAAAAAGGAACTAGAAAAGTAGCAAGCAAAAATAGAACACAGCTGAAACAATGGGAAGTATCAATTAGGATCAAAATGCAGAATATTTTTTAAAAAGTCTGAGTTATAGGCATATTCAGGTGAAATGTATATAGTATTCATAAAATATTAATGATTTGATGCACAAATTGAAGTAAATGAATATGATTTAATTCTAATTATAGAGATGTAGTTCTCGGGTGAATGAGCTGAATGTCCAAGAATATTCTACATTTAGAGGGGATAGAGAACAGGGAAAATGAGGTGAGGTAGAACTCCTAATGTACTGATGTAACTCATTATTGAGATGAGATAACCTTCAGTTGGAAGATCAAGATCTAGAATTAATTTGGGTGGAGCTAAGAAGAAGCAAGGAGAAGAATATATCTGGGGGAGTTGTTTATAGAAAACCAAACCGTAGAACTAACATTGGGCTAGAGATGCATTAACGTGAGTAATGCAGTAATGATGGGAGACTTCATTTTGCACATAAGCTGGTTAACAAAGTTGGTGCTAATGGTTTGATGGATGAATTTCTGAAGTGTGTACAGAAGGCTTCTTGGAACAGCTTGTTAAGGAGCTAATAAGGGCTATTTTATGTTTGGCATTGTGTATTGAGAAAGAACTCATTGATAGGCTTGCTGTAAAGGAGTCTTTCGGAAATAGTGACCAGAACAGGATAGAATTTTAAATGAAGTTTGAATATAACGTAGTTCATTCTGAAAATTGAGACTTGCATCTAAGCAAAGGAAACTAAGGCTATGAAGGGCAAGGTGGATTGGGAAAATAAACTAAAAGATTTGATGGTAAGTAGATGCTAGCTAAAATTTAATACTACAGAGTTTACAACAGATGTAACTTCCTCTAAAGCACAAATGACCAAACAGAAAGGTAAATAAACCTTGGTTAACAAAATAAATTAAAGATTGCATTAGATCAAATATAAGGATCCTAGAAAGTGGTAAGTATCGAGAACCCAGCAAAAGAGTGCCAAAAAATTTGAGGAAAGGGAAAAATGAATATGAATTGAAGCTAGTGAGAAAATGTTGAACTGTAAATTCTTTCATTATGTGAAGGGAAAATGAGTTGCAAGGATAAACATGGGCCACCTTCAGGTTGGATAGCAGAATTCCCAGAACAGGGAAAAGGAAGAGAAATTAAACAGTTGTTTTGCATCTTCAGAGGAAGATACAGAAAATCTCCCAGAAATAGAGGTGACTAAACGGCTTGTGTAACTGAAAAACTGAAAAAAAATAAACATTAGTAATATGAGGTAGCACTTGAAAATTAGCTGGATTCAGGGTTACGACTTTCCTAGATCAGGTTGAGGTTGTAGATTTGCTCGCCGAGCCGCTGTGTTTGATTGCAGACATTTTGTCACCCTGCTAGGTAACATCGTCATTGCACCACCGGTGAAGTGTTGGTGTTCTGTCCCACTTGTTGTTTATATGCCTCGGTTTGCTGGGGTGGTTGGCATTGCTTCGGTTCTGTTTTTCAGTGGTTTGTATATCGGGTCCAGTTCAGTGTGTTTGTTGAGGGAGTTCTAGTTGGAATGTCAGGCTTCCAGGAATTTCCTGGCGTGTCTCAGTTTGGCTTGCGTTATTATGGATGTGTTGTCCCAGTCGAATTTGTGTCTTTCTTTCTCCGTGTGTATTGAGACCAGTGAGAATTGGTCGTGTCTCTCGATGGCTAGTTGGTGTTCGTGTATCCTTATTGTCAGTTTTCTTCCAGTTTGGCCTACGTAATGTGATTGTGAGAAACATTAGGGTACAGAACTCCATCAACAAAAACATTGAACTCGATCCGATATACAAACCATTGAAAAACAGTACTGGAAGTAATGCCAACCACCCCAGTAAACTGAGACATATAAATAACAAGCGGGACAGAACACCAACGCTTCACCGGAGGCGCGCTGATTATGTTACCTAGCAGGGTGATGAAACGTTTGCAGTTAAACACACTGGCTTGGCAAGCAAGTCTACAACCTCACCCACAACATGAGCTATAAATCCTTTCAAAAACTTTCCTATTTGAGCTCCATCTCAGTATTGAAAGAAGTAGCAGTAAAAGTAGTGGATGCATTGATTATTTTTAGAAATTCTGTAGATTCTGGAAAGGATCCTACTGATTGGAAGATAGTAAATGTAATCATACTATTAAAGAAGGAAGAAAGAGGGAGAGTCGGGAATTCATAGACCTGTTAGTTCGACATCTGTAGTGGGGGAAAATGTTAAAATCTCTTATAAAGAATGGGGTAATACCTTAGAAAAGAATGGCAAAATTGAGCAGAATGAACATGGATTTATGAAAGGGAAATCATGTTTGACCAACTTGTTCTTTCAGGATGGAAACCAGTGGATGTGATATATTTGGATTTTCTGAAGGCTTTTGATGAGGCCTCAGAATCTAGTAAATAAAAATAGTGTACCTGAGAATATGGGGAAGGGGTAGGAGGGATATACTTTACTTTATACTGTATTAAAATTAATTATTAGACAGAGAAAAGAGTAGGAATTAACTGATCGTTCTCATAACTTTTCCCAGTGGGATACTGCAAAGGTCAGTGCTATGTCCTCAGCTGTTCACAATCTATTCACAATCTGTTTAAATTATTGGGGACCAATTGTGATATTTCCAAATTTGCTGATGACATGAAACTAGGCAGGAACATAAGTTGTGAGGAGTGTGCTTGGTAAATTCAAGAGGACGTGGGACAGTCTAAGTGAATGGACTAGAATATGGCAGATGGAATACTTTGGAAGTAAGTTTGAAGTTATTCACTTTGGTAGAGGAAACAAAAAGGCAGAATATTTCTTAAATGGTGAGAGTTTGGGAAATGTGGGTGTCCAAAGGGATCTGGGTGTCCTTGTCCATGAGTCACTTAAACTGGACATGCAGAGGCAGCAAGCTATTAGGCAATCTGTACATTGGCATTTATTTCAAAGGGATTTGAATACAGAAGTAAAGATGTCTTATGCAGTTGTACAGAGCCTTGGAGAGATCTCACCTGGAGTATTATGTATAGTTTGATTCTCCTTATCTAAAGAAGTATATACTTGCCAGAGGGAGTTCAGTGGAGGCTCACCAGATTAATCCCTGGGTTGATGAGATTGTGTCATGAGGAGAGATAAGTGGATCTGTAGTTTCCAGAGTTTGATGAATGAGAAGTGATTTAATTGAAACTACAAAATGTTTATGAAGCATGTTAGGGGAGGTACAGCTGGAACATTTCTTTTGGCTGGTTTCTCTAGAATCAGGGTAATTGAGGACAAGTGATAGACCGTTTAAGACTGAGATGAGGAATTTCTTCACTGATAGAGTGGTGAATCTTTGGAATTTTGTACTCCAGAAGCCTGTGGAAGCTCAATCACTGAGCAGGTTCAAGGCAGACTAATTACATTAAGGAATGTGGAGATAGTGCAAAACATGGTGTTGAACGTTCATGATCTGGAATAGCAGGATAGGCTTGATGGTTTGAATGGTCCGGATCCTGAAGTAATTAAAAGTTAGCTTATCAATGATCAAAATGTAATCAAAAAACAAAAGCTGTGCCATGTCGAATTTCATCACCAGAATGGAAAAGCAAAAATTTGTCACTAATTGCTGCATTGAAGCTGTTAACCACCTGTATTTGGTGGTTGTATTCCGTTTTAGGCAGCTATCAGGTTGAGCAGTATATATTTATATATGGAAAATTTTCCAGAAAAGGCTGTGGAAATATTTCTTTCCACACTTCTACACTGCCCCTTTGTGGCTGAATTTGTAGCATTGAAACTATTTTGTATTTTTTTGTTTTATTGAAGAAACAACTGAAGATTTGTTAGTGTAAACTGAACATTTGTTTTCAATGGATAAGCTTGTGCACAAGTTTCTGGTTGTAGAGTATCTAGTTTTGAGTAGTATTGGTAGTGTGTTATTTCCAAGCTTGTCATTTGAATTGCTTCTATTTAGGTAGTATTCTTAAGTACCTGCAGAAGAAAAAACCTCAAGATGCTTTCTGTATTGTTGGAATTACAATGATTGACCTTTATCCTGAAGATTCCTGGAATTTTGTGTTTGGACAGGCATCTCTTACAGAAGGTAAAGAAGTGTGGGCATACATTTACTGCCCATGTCTCTTTTGTTTTCATTTGCATTTAAATATCTTTAGAAACCTTTGTACCTACTTGTATGGGAGGCTCATTTGTAAAATTATCAATTTTGTGTACTTAACCTGGCACATTTACACATTTGCACTAATTGTGTATGTTTTAGTTTCTCTTCTTGGCCGTCATTCTCCCATCCTCTGAACAAGTCATGACAGAAGCACAATAAAGTAACTAAAGTTCTATTAATGAAGAGCTTACCTAATAAAATGTTGCTGTAGTTACACAGGGTATTGGTCACCTCCACCTGCAGTGTGTGTGGTGTACCCCCACCACATGGGTTGCAGTGGTTCAAGAATGCAGTTCCCCACCAACTTCTAAAAGGCAGTTAGGGATAGTCAATAAATGCTGGCCTAACCAATGATGCTCACAACCTGTGAATGAATTTTTTTAAAGTGTTTTCATGGCTGGGGAATTGCAAATAGTCATTAATGTCGGAACTCTGAGACTGAAAGATGAGGACAAATTTCCTCACTTAGGGTTGCGAATCTATGGAATTCTCTATGAGAACAGTGGCTACTCAATCACTGAGTCAAGTCTGAGGTAAAAGATTTTTCATAAAGGAGAATTAAGGGACATGAAGGGTAATGTGAAAATGTGGAGTTAATGTGGTTGATAAGCCATGATCCTGTTGAAGATGGAGGTCATTGAGCTAACTGATTTATTATAGCTCCTTTTACTTACATAAAGTCTTGATAGAAACAGCTGATTTTACCAGTAGGAAATGAAGCAGTTAGAGTTGTATTTTATTTATTGAAGCATTTAAGGTTGACTTGAGGATTGCATCAGAAATAGAGCTATTGCAGGCTTAATCTGGAGGGAGGAGAGCTCCGTCGAAAAGTCAGACTTGTGTAAATCTATCCATGCCCTTGTAAAGGATGACAGTGCTATTCTCCTTATTACCATGAATAATGCTAACAAATCCATAGTTTCTGGTAGCCTACTTTCAAATATAACTAGTTGTCATGAATATTGTTTATATGTGGCTCTGTGCTGATTGGGTGGAGAATTTGTGATCTCTTGCATTACTAAAGATGAAATTGGAAAGTGAACCAAATTCTGGCCAGTAATTGAATATGGTTCTAATCAACTACAGTGTCCAGTTTTTGTTCACCACAGCTGGGAATTGTGATATTTTTCATACTATGTGAAAAATGTGTAAATTTTATTTAATGCTCAATGTCTTGAGTATTTTTCAATATTTATATGAGTATTTTATGTTTTAGAAATAAAATCCAACTTACTGATTGGTACAATGGAACATTAACATATTTTTGCTAAAACAGATTTTGAGTAGTTAATTGAAGGTGTTATTTCAATTTGCTTCTATAGGCCAGGAGAGAGAAAAGTACTGAATTTATGCATCTTTTATAGGAATGGGTGTTTTTAGCTTTGCTAGATATGATGATGGCTTTTACACCACGAACTATAAGGGAAAGTTGAAGAAAAAGAAACATCTGGCTCCTGATGATTATTCTGTCTTTGATGGATACTACACACCACCTATTACAAGCAAGTTGCTGCTGCGATCATGCAAGGTGGGAGTATTTGCAGAAATGAAAATGTTGTGTTTGGAAACAGTTGATTTAAAAGGGAGTAGAGTTGTGCTTTCTCATGTCCATGGCACCTTGGCTTACTTGCAAGCACCCTATTTCTGAATCAGATAGTTGTAGATTGAAACCATAATGTAGACCAATAAAGTCCAATATGTCAGCAGCATGTGGCTAATTGGCAATCCTTAAACATTTTTGCTTTAAGTAAAAACTGAGTAATAAATATCATGTGTGACCATGTAGTATCAATAATCCTATTCGCACATCATATGTACTTAAACATTACTTGATTGTTTTATGTTGTTTCTGAGCTAGTGTGTAGGGTGGACATTCTGGACGGACAGCTTGGTGCATCTTGTAATTGCAGAGTATGTTTACCTACTTGAGTGACAATGATTTAGGAAACCATCAATATAAGAGAGGAAATCCTATGGCATGGATGGAAGATGTACAAAAACTATGTCCTGGTGGTTCTCCTCTGGATGGAAGGAGGCCAAGGTGCCTTACCAAGTAGATCTCAACAAATACACAAAATTTTAGAAAATGTCCTCCACATTAACTACTTAACACAACAGGAAACACTCTGCCAGTTTTGTACGTTACATTGCACTGAGCAGAAATTTAGTTACGACAATAAAGTCCCAAACACCACCTGGATTCAACCCTGGTGTACCCTGGGTGAATCTTCCAATGTTGTCTTAAAAAGTTCTTTCACTCAATTTTCATGGTATAATCAACAGACCTATAGTAGCAAGGCACCCTTTGGTGACAACAACTCCTTAGTTTTAAGTTGTATTTAAGGGGATATCGAGCGCTGAATACGTATTAAATCTATTTTTCCTACAACCTCATGTGCCCTTGTTGCTGTGACTGCTTGGCTAGAGTGCACAACACCTGTTCCTTGGGTACAACCAACTGCAGAATATTTACACCCCACGTTACAGGGAAGACTTGCAGATAGTAAGCTAATACTAGATCAGTGATATCCATGGCACTTGATATAAGTTTCACCAAATTGATGTACCCCATGAAATTAGTAATTTAGACAAAGATTTCCACACTTCAGCAAATGCATTTCACTGTTTAGTCTTTCTGGTTTTGATCTTTATCAGGTCACTTTTGCTCTGGGATAATTTTCTGCTGCGCAGTTGTCATTTTCAGCCTGGTGATTGACAGCTCAGTGTGTAATCTGTGTTTTTTATTATGCTGTTAGAAAAATGTATTCCATGATTAAAGAAGCTTTTAATTGCTTTCATGCATACCTCAGTAGTTTCCCCGCCAGACCCAGGCAAATTCCCTTCTGAACTTGCAGCCCATCACAGGGAAAACAGAAGCGGGAGTGATGGCATTAAGATCTCAGCCCAAAAACATTTTCCGGAATGTTATGACCCAGCATGTTCCAGGACCTGCCCCTAGCAGCTGTTTAAAAATAATCTTGTCCAGAACGAGTATTTCCACTTATGGGAAATAGCAAAGTTAGAGATTTGTCAACATATGATAGTCATCAAGAAGTCAAATGCTGCAGCCGTATACATTTGGGGGAGGTCATTGTCCATCTTTCTGATGCTCCCTGTCTTTGATGAATGTTATTGACACATAGAGGATTTTTAGCTTTGATACTCTGTAGCAATATTAACAATGCAGCTGTTGTGTATTTTTTTTCTTTCTTCCTGTTCTGCTTTCGGTGATGGCAGAGGTTTTGTCTGTTTGGTTTGCTTTTACCTTTTGCTTGGACGTGAGACCCATTGATATCTTGATGCAGCTGCTTTTTGACTCTCTGCTCACATGATTCAGTATGTGGAGGTGCTGGTGTTGGACTGGAGTGGACAAGGTCAGAAATCACACAACACCAGGTCATAGTCCAACAGGTTTATTTGAAAACACAAGCTTTCAGAGCGTAGCTCAGGTGAAGAGACTGATTGTATAACCACTGTTTAGCCAGTTCCGTTTGCATATTAATTTTGTGTACTGTGCTTTTGATGTACATAGAACTTCTGTACTGTTTAGAATCCTGTCTGAGACTTTTCCCATATGGTCTTCAAATTGTCTCGGAAAATCCTCTGTTGAACACTATTGTAATTTTGTTTTTACTAACATAAACTTACCAGTCTCACGTCAGAACTAGTAAATGGATGTAGATTCTATTTCTCGCTGCAGGATTGCTCAGTGGTCAGAATTGTTAAGTTCAACAACTGTTGTTACCGGACAACACAGTGACACTCCCTAATACTACATGCTGCAAGCTGATGATAGCAGCTAATCATATTTTCTCCATTCTGGTTACTTGCTAATTAACATGTTCGTCTTCGTGATATCATAGCAGCTGCCACAGGGAATAGCTGTTGCAAATAAAAAGATTTTTGTTTTAACGAAAAGTTAAATAAGCATGTGAGGGTGGAAGGAATAAACAACAATGCTGATGCATCCAGAGGTGGAAGGATAAGAGATAGCATAGATGGTGTCTTTGATGCTGTATGTTCTGTGCAATTAAATGTAGGACTTTTTCTGCTGTAATGTGGTTAAAATAATGTTACCATAATATGTTGGACAACTGTGATCAAAGCTAATTCTCTCATGCAGTACAGAGAATTGTCAGTCATGGCATCTTTCACTTTAGATATTATTGCAGACTCCATCTTCCTTTGAATGCAAAAGAGTCTCAGAATAGAGAAAATCAGAGCAGTCTTCTCATGTTCGAGCCATATTTTATCTTTCAGCTAACGGTACAGGAAATAGGTTATTTTATTATTTATTTTATATATAAAAGGCTTGAAAGACCTTGCTATGGGATGATAGTTAAATGTTTGCCAAATAACAACAGTGGCTCTACTTCCAGAATAAATTAATTGGTTCTGTGTACTTCTGGAACATAGATAGAAATATGAAGGATGCAAATAAATTGTTCTTTTTTGCAACATTTCTGACTATAATCAAGTCTTTGTGGTGAACCTTACTTGACTGTGATGTAACTGGGTCAAGAACCAGTAATTATATAAATATAAATATTTTAAACCTTCAGTTTATCGTGCCATGATGATATCTGCTCCCTTTTGATATGCTTCAAGAAATGCCTTCTGATAACTCAACTGAGTAGCTGTTACGCATGTGAGTCTTGACATTAAGTGTCTGCAGGCTATTTGATCATAAGGGGTTTAAAAACCATCCCAAATACTGCCAAACATGTGTGTCCACCTTTGCTTAGAAATACTGAAGCAAATTGTAATGTTCCTAACATGAACTTAGCTAAGGTAATTTGTATTGCTCAGCTGTTACTAGATAAAGTCTCAATGATGCATCATTTGAAGAGCTTTTGTTTTCTTAGTTAAATTGAAATCTTGATTTAGTTACTTGAAACTGCCTGAAAATGCTTGTGTTGAGCAAAGTTTGATAATTATTTCTCGTTATCTTGGCTATTATGGTCACCTTGTTTTATGTATGTTTGGGATAGTGTTATATCAAGGCCTAGGTGGACTTGAAAGATTTTGTGGCCAGTATTCAAAGAATATGGTAATTCTTGCCCTGACCTACATTTATCTTTCACCTTCTGTTGTGAAGAATAGACAAACTGGTCATTTATTTCTTGTGAACCGTTGAAACCTCTCTAACTATCAGTTCAGAAGCAGATTAGATTAAAAATCAATCAAAAGGTATCACACAGATAATATTGGATCAGAAATATCATATTGTGCATTATATTTTTAAAAATTAGAAAATGGATTGAGGGCTTTCTGAATTTGGTTCTGTAAAAGTGGAAAGATATAGCTTTCAAAAAAGACTGAAAATGTTCATTATTTTTCATATTTAATGGTTGAACATAACCTTATTCAATTTAAAAAAAATTGTTTATAAATTGTCTTTGATAAAATACCTTTCAGGTTGTTATATTGACTTTTTATTTTTCAGTTAATGAAATTTGCTGCATTTTCAGACTCTAACTCATGAAATTGGACATATTTTTGGCATGCATCACTGCCAATGGTTGCAATGTGTAATGCAAGGTTCCAACCATTTAGAAGAATCTGACCGACGGCCAATTGATCTTTGCCCTATTTGCCTAAGAAAGCTGCAGTACACCATTAACTTTGACGTTAAAGAGAGATATAAGGTAAGGTAAAATTTACTGATCATTTTATATTTCTCTGAATTATGGTAAGTTTGAAATAAAGCATTGTTTAATTATAATAATTAAATTTTCACAATGAAAGTAGTGTTTGCAGTAATTTTCTCCAAAATATTTCCTGATGGGCAGAGATTGAAAGTAAAGTTCTTTTGAACTGAACAGTATCAAAAAATGAAGTGACATTCATTGATGGCACAAGTTGCGAAATGTCTCTAAACATAAATGATGTCACCTTGTTTGAATTATATAATTATTCTACCAGCAGGTTATGTAACAAAATTAATTCTCGCAATAAGAATGAAATTAGTAGATTCACTTTCAAATCGGTTATGCAAAACAAAGGTGATAGTACTGTAATCAAAATAGAAGATGCTGTGGAGAGAGAAAAGGTTCATGTTTCAAATCAAAGATGTTTCATCAGAGCTGTGAAAGGTTAAAAATGCAACAGGGGTATTGAGCAAGGGATGGGTGGGACAAAGACAAAAAGGAAGTTTAATAATTATGTGGAAGACTGAAGAAATTTGATGATAGATGAGTTAGTCTTACAGGATCAAAGAGAATGTTGATCGGGCTGGGAGATAAATGAAGAAACAAAGATGTGCCTAGAGCAGCAGTACTGGAAAAAAAAAAGTAAGAGAAAAACTGAAATATGCAAGGAAAAGGAAATAAAATGGGCCAAGAGGTTACGGCCTGAAATTGTTGAATTCAGTGCATTTAGAGGCCTGTAAAGTGCCTAATTGAAAGATGTGGTGTGGTTTTTGAAGTTTATGTTGAGCTTCCTGGAATGGTGCAGCAAGCCAAAGATACATGAGAGCAGGGTAGAGAATTAAAATTTACGCCATCAGCAGCTCAGGGTCAAGCTATAGTATGATCAGATATTTCGTGAAGCAGCCATTCAGTCTACATTTGACATTCCCTGTGTAGAGGAGACCCACATTTTGACGAGTGAAAAAAGTATGCGGCAGTTGCTGCTTCACCTGGAAGGATTGTTTGGGGCCTTGGTTGTTGAGGAAGAAGGAGATAATAGGACAAGTGTTACATCTTCTATGTTTGCATGGACAGATGCTGTGGGAAGGGGGCATGTTTAGGGTTAACTGAGGCGAGAATCAGGTTATTGTGAAGGAAATGATCCCATTGGAATGCTGTAAAGACTGGGAAAGAAGGATATTTATGGAGGTGGGAGAAATGGTGGAAAATAATCTGTTGAACGCAGAGCCAGATGGGTTGGAAGGTAAAGGCAAGGGAAGCCCTGGGAGTTTCAGCAGGGAGGGGAAAGAGATGAGTGTGGAAATTCAGGAAATGTTGCAGATATGTTTGAGTGCTATATCTGTCCCAGTGGATGAATCCTCATTTGAGGGGAAAAAATCGACACCTCAGAACTGCTGGTGTAAAAGGTAGGCATCATCAGAATAAATGCAATGGAGACTGGAATTGAGAACTACAGGGTATAGGGTGTGAAGAGCTGCAGTCGAGATAGAGCTGGAAGTCAGTGGGCTTATAATAATTATTAGTAGATGGCCTGTTGCCAAAAGTGGAAATAGAAGTCAAGGAAGATAAGGGAAGAATTGGAGATGGAACATGTGAAATTGAGCACAAAGTGAAATTGAAAGCAAAATAGATGAAGTTTTCAGATTCAGGCTGAGAGCGGGACACTTTAACGATACAGTAATCAATATACCAAAAAAGTTGAGGGAGTGTGCCAAGTGAGATTGGAATGAGGAATGTTCCACATATCCCATAAAAAGGCAGGCTTAGCTTGGACCCATGGAGTGTGACTAATAATATTAAAATATTACAGCACTTTGTACTGGAAAATTAGATTATGAACAGTATGGGCAACTTCCTAAAGTTTAAGCTGGTCAAAATGAATTACTGGAATGACTGGACTGCATTACTGCACCTGAAAGAAAAGAGAGACTGGAGTCAAAGCTGTCATAGTTTAACATACATCAATTTTGTAAACAAGCCATTTGTGTGGAATTAAAGAGGATGGGCATCAGGTGGTTAAATAAAAAGGGCAAAAACAGATACATTTTGTACTGAAGGGATGTAAACTGCAGTGTCCTTTTGGTCAGCAGGGAAATTGTTTAATTTCTCATTACATAAATCATCTGGACCCTGACATGAGGGTATGCTATCAGAGTTGTCAGATAGCTCAAAAATGGAATGTCAGTTCAATTGTGCAGACGGATATATGTGAATTTGGAAAGCCACGTGTTGTTAAATTGGAAGCATAGATTGAATTTCCACAGATTATGCAGGGGCGGAAAGAGGAGCAATCATTTGAGTTACAGTGACTAGGTGAGACTGGGATTTTGTCACAATTAAACAGCTAAGGGGAGATCTGATAAAAGTTTTCAAAGTTATGAGGAATTCTGATAATATAAACAGAGAAAACTATTCCAATTAGTTGATAAACTGCAACTACAAGAAATAAATTTAAGGTGTTCACTAATGAATGAAAGAAAAGATGGCCCACTCCCTGAACGACATGTTCATCCTGGGCCACCTCCAGTGTCACAACGATGCCACCCGGAAACTGGAGGAACAGCACCTCATATTCTGCATTGGAAGCCTACAACCCAATGGTCTCAATGTGGACTTTACTAGCTTCAAAATCTCCCCACCCCCAACCTCATTCCAAGACCAGCACCCCCCTCTCAACCCCGCCTCCTTGACCTGTCCGTCTTCTTTCCCACCTATCCACTCCTCCCACCTCACTGACCAAACCCCCATCCCCACTTCCTACCTACACCCACCTTTACTAGTTTCATCCATGCCTCCTTGACCTGTCTGTCTTCTGTCCCACCTATCCGCTCCACTATCTACTTGCTATCACCATATCCCCCTCTCTATTTATTTCAGAGCCCCCTTCCCCTCCCCCATTTCTGAAGAAGGGTCCCGACCCGAAACATCAGCTTTCCTGCTTCTCTGATGCTGCCTAGCCTGCTATGTTCCTCCAGCTTCACGCTTTAGTATTTTTACTACCGGGAATGCTTTTAGGGCATGGACAGCCTTAGCATAAACAATGCGGAAATAGAACTAGCATTGAAATGGAAGTGATTGAAGATTTAAAGGATATAAGAAGATAGCCGGTGAATAGGTCTAGATTTTTTTCAGAGCCATGCAGAAATGCTGGTCAAATTTACTTGCTTTCTGTGCCATAAAGTTACAAATGTATGAAATAGGAGCAGAAGTAGTCTATTCAGGACCTTGAACCTGCTCCGTAATTCAATAAAAATAATTAATCGGTTTGTGTTTCAAATTCCACAACACAGCTACCCCTAACAACCTTTAATTCCCAAGCCTAACAAAAACCAGTCTACCTCTGCTTTAAAAATACTCAATGATCCCGCTTCCACTGCCTTCTGAGGCAGTATAAATTCCAAAGTTGCACAACCCACTGAGAGAAGAATTTTCTCCTAATCTTTATCTTAAAAGAGGTGCTCCCTAGTTTGGAAATTCTTCAACTCCAGGAAATGCTGGTGTATTTTCTTTTTTGTATTTAAGTTGTATTTGCATTTGCAGTGAATTTTACTGAATCAGGAAATTTTTATATATTGTAGATAATGTAGAAAATCAATTAGAACAGAAATTACTGAAATGTAACTATTGAAAAATTTGTAACAAAAATAAAGTACAAAATGGACATATTGATAACACCATTATCTCTTTTTAGTGGTCACAAAAAAGTCAGTCTTAATATTTTTAATTTACCTTTATAACATGTTTTGTTTAGAGTATTCTCTTAAATAAAAGGTACAGTAATATATGAAAGACTGGAAAGAGGCTAAAACCTGGTCAGGCAGCATCTATGCAGAGGAGGACATTTCATCAGGTTATGCTGATGTTAGGACATCTCTACTTTCTACTCCACAGATGCTGCCTGACCTGCTGTATGTTATTTCGTTTTATTTCAGACTTACGGCACCAGCAGTGTTTTGGTTTTGACTAAAAACAGTATATTTTATCAGGAAATAAGGTGCATTTGCAAATAGTCACTATTATTAGCACAATAATCTATATGAGCATTGTAGACTAAGTTGGGACAGGGTGGCTGGGTTGTAGAATTATTTATTCTGTCTTCCTCCCATCATTCACCCACTGGCAGAGAAAACGCAGCTAAAATGAATGCCCCAAATGCTTTTGAACTTTCTGTGAAAAGTATCCCGGATTGCTTAACAAATATGCCAAGTGAATAGAGAGAATTTTCATGATGAAGTCTTGTTGAGGAGGTGAAGCAGTTTTGCGTTGCTAGTTGATTTATTGCAGTGATCAGAAGGGTGTTTCTGAGGACTTTCGTATACTGAGAACTGGTGAATAAAATTTAATGAGCTCTGTTTATGCTAAATTATGTCAACTTAGACTAGTAAATGCTGACTACTGAAAAATAGACCTGAGTAATACATTTTTATTTACATTGAATATGCAGTTGGACAAAGGCCCATCATTTCCAATATATGGAATTAGCTTCCTGAAGAATAGCGGAGAAGGGAGACATAGAATAATTTAAGAAATAATGTTAAAAGGGAAAGAGAGAGAATCATATTCTTATAGATGGTGCGAATGACATTCTTCATCTATAATTATCTTGCATAGATCAAATTGCAGAGGTGATGCAGTATTCAGTCATATGGATTTGCAAGGATGTTGCCGGGGTTGGAGGGTTTGAGCTATAGGCTGAACCTTTTTGTCCCGCAGCGTCAGAGGTTGAGGGGTGACCTTAAAATCATGAGGGACATGGCAGGGTGAATAGCCAAGGTCTTTTCCCCAGGGCTGGGAGTCCAAAACTAAAGGTCATAGGTTTAAGGTGAGAGGGGAAAGATTTAAAAGGGACCTAAGGGACAACGTTTTCACACAGAGGGTGGTGCATGTGTGTAATGAGCTGCCAGAGGAAGTGATGGAGGTGGGTACAATTACAACATTTTAAAAGGCACCTAGATGGGTACATGAATAAGAAGGGGGTTAGAGAGATATGGGCCAAATGCTGACAAATGGACTAGATTAATTTAGGATATTTGGTCGGCCTGGTTGAGTTGGATCGAAGGGTCTGTTTCCGTGCTGTACAACTCTGATTCTCTTGCAGAGGGTTTAAAAAAACGTCGACATAACTGTGGGGATGAAGCCACGTAACAATGTTTTAACATGACCAACAGATTTGTATTGTTATTTGAAGCAACTTGGCTGTGTGGGAAAGTGTTATTTAATGTTATGCTGTTCAGCTATGCCTTGGATAATTCTCCAGTTTTTCTTTTGAAATAAGAGCTGCAGGAAAAGAAAAGAGTCTTATGTTGGACACAATCAGAGTTAACAATTTGTGGCTAGACAACAATACTCTGGAATCACTATGTATTCACCATGCTGAACTAGGTATCGCAAAAGAGGGCATTAGCACTCCATAAAAGTGAGAAGTGGGTGCCTCCATGTATATGTTGAGACTGTTTGGCACATTTTCCAGTTCTTTATAAAGTGGCCATTGTTGACTGATCAAACCTCCTTCATATGCAGACCCCGAGATCCAAGTCCTCAGTTTATCAGAGGGAGCACAGGAATTGGTTCTCCACTCACCTTTCGGTTGTGCGTCTGTATATACGAGCAGCACTTGGTACAATGTCCCCTGATGCACAGATTCTAGACCACATTAATTGTTCCTTTATCTTTTCAAAAATGCATTCCTTGATTTTGGAACCAAGTTAAAAGCTAGACCTATGTCTTTAGCCATTTGCTGATCATTTTTTTAAAAAATGCATTGTTAGAGCAGCCGAATAGAAGGATTTTTATATTTGTTTATTCATTCATAGAATGGCAAAGTTGTCATTTATTGCTCATCATTAATCATTGATCATCATCATTGAGAAGGTAGTTGTGAGGCATCATGGCGAAACACAATGATTTTGGTACACCCACAATGTTGTGAAGAAGAGAATTCAAAGCTTATTAAGAAATAGTAGGTACTGATCATATCATTGAACTAGAAATCCAGATCCAAGCTAATACTCTGGGCCATAGGTTCAAATCCTACAATGGGAACTGATGGAACTTTGAATTCAATGAATAAACAATGGTCACAAAATTCAATGCAAAAAGTCAATTAGTTTAATCGCAAGTTGAAGTCAGCAAACATAGCTGAGATGGCCAATGAGAACACAGGACTTACAAGAACTCCTTATCTTCAGTATTGTAGCAACATTTTTATGTGCATGCTAGGCTCTTGATTTCCTTAGAACTCAATACATGACTGACATATGTCACATTGATGATCTTGAGGAATAATTCCATGATTCAGAACTTCCAGCAACCTTGATAGGAGCCATGTCTTGGGAAAATTAGTGAATAGAGAAGTACTGATGGTGCTTGTGGTTTCAAAATTTTACTTTCTGATGAAAATTCCTGGTATTAGAATGAATCACATTATTTTGCTATCAATTGATGAACAGTGATTTATTTTCTTTTATTCTTTTATGGAATGTGAGCATCACTTAAGGCCAGTATTTGTTGAGTGGCTTGCAAGGCCACATCAAAGTTACATGTCATGGCTGTGAATTTGAAATAGTTTACAGGCCAGACCAGGTAAAGATGTCATATTTCCTTTTCTAAAGCACTTGAGTGAACCAGAGGAATTCTTATGGAAATTGACAATTATCTCAGTTTCATTTCCAGATTTATTAATCAAATGTGAATTTCACCAGTTGTCGTAGTGCAATTTGAACCCACGTCCCAAGAGCATTAGTGTGGGCCTCCGCATTACTGGTCCTGTGGTACTACCATTGCACCAGTGTCTTTTCCTGTCTGATGTTTAGTGATTAATTTTGATCAAACTATTCAAAAATGCATGTCTTAATTTCTGCTCTTTTATATTTCAGGCCATGTTGACATGGATTGAGGACAATTCTGATCCTGAGATTTTGGTTAGAACGGTGCAGGCATCTCATAAACCCATGGAAGCATTCAAAGAATGGAAAGAATGGTTGCTGCGGTGTCTGCAATTTTTGGAGAAGTGAATTTTAATAAATGCAAGTTGCTGAAGGCAATGGTGAGGTGTGGGATTCTTTTGAGCTCTTAAAAAAAAATTTGTTTTTCATGATGTGCGGGCTGCACCAAATTGTTGATGATGTGACTAGATACTGAATAAACAATCTTGAATAGGTTGTGCATGATCTGATAAGTCTGTTGCATCCATGCTTTGTTACAGGAAGTTTCAGAATATTTAGTATCCTTTTCAAGAAGAAAGTGAAGACATTTTTCACACAATTCTTGAAAATATGCTATGGATTATCAAAGTTTCTACTTGGGAAAATGAGTGAAGCTTATCATTTGAGTAAGACTTGCTTCAATAAGGAAGTTTTGCGGTTGTGTACACAGATTATGTATGTGCACGGCTAATGCTGAGTGGTTGAGAAAACCAAGGAGTGGGTGTAGCATTTACTTAATACATTGATCTTTCAGACTGAGTTATTACATGAGTGTTATGTATTTGCCAGTCAAAAATGTCAAAAGTAGTGGCACATGGCATCAATTTAAGGCTGAGATTATGTTGATATTTAGAACCTTGATTTCTAGGTTTTCAAAGTGGGAGAGACATTATTTTAGCTTTATGGATTGCTTTAGTTCACTTACTGGTAATTAGCTGCGTTTAGTTTTAACTGTCTTTACATGTGAACAAGCAGGTTCACAGTAGGATTTAAAGTGGCCCTATTACTTTGAAAATCGGCCATGCAATTTCTTTCAAATGCTACATGGCCTCCTAAGTTTCCAAAATTGTCGCAAGGAATTAATGTACAAAGAAAAAGTATGTTACCCTCCCTGCAAGCGAACTTTAAGTCTTTTACTTTTGCAAATAAAGATCCTAATGTCAGCTTGAGAACCCTACTGCAAGATTGATTTTCTTTCCCCCAAGACAGTTGGTGTCATTGTGGGGAACTAACCCAACAGAATCCCTGTGGGGATGATAAAAAATGAAGTTACTTATCTCTGAATATCTGAATCTCTGAATGACGAAATTTGTTTCAAGCCTGCTTGACCATGGCTGAAAATTAGGTGTTCCTTATTTTTTTTTGTGTTTTATGAGCATGTAATTGAGTGTGAAATATATCTTCGCATTTTCACTGTTAATGTTTGCCAGGCTATTCTTTTCAAGGATTTTTCATGAATTTGGGTTGCAAAATTTTCTGCTGTTGGCAGTTATTATTTTAGTAATTGTGAATGTGATGTGATTACTTCTCTTTATTTTGGGAGATAAAAAAGAAAAATAATGTTGCAAGTAAAGGTCAGAATACTAGTGCCATCCTTGCTCATGGAACTACATCTAGACTATTTTCAAAAGCATACTTTCTTACCAAAAACTTGTAAAATTACATTTAGTAACAGTTCAAGTTAGATATTATCACGTGCAAAAAAATGTCAATTTCTTTGCATGCACCATAGCACCAAATGTTTCTGTACAATTACAGAGACTTGCTACATTTGCATGATCCATTCCATGACAAGAATGCTGCCTTTGTGGAACTAAGTTAGATGGAAATATACTTCAATATTTTGAAGGAAAATCATCTTTGCTTGCTGTGCTTTACGAGATGGCACTGCCAGTCACTGCCAAGGTCATTGTAGCCCTGAATGTTTAAATGCCTGGCTAATTTCAAGCTGCCACAAGGACTTTTAAGTATTGTTAAGAAGGAGCAAGACTCCGAAAGCTTGTGTTTACAAATAAACCTGTTGGACTACAACCTGGTGTCATGTGATTTTTGATCAAGTTATTGTTCACATGTATCAAGCAGGTACAAAGACCAGTTTTAATTTTTTTGGACTTTGAAAATTGGAAAAGATGGTGCTTTAAATTGGGGAAACTGTAAGATGTTTTGCAGTTTTAAAAAATAAGTGATTGGAACATATTGTGAGTTGTATCTACAAGTTGTCTAATTCAAGCAGCACAGGAAAATGGCCCCATCTGTGCGTTCATGGCAATCCTGTCGCAAGCCTGGCATTTCATTTTTCAATTTCGACCAGTTCTTCTGGGCTTAGTGTGGTAACAGTCACTTGGTGGGAAAGTGGCTACATCCCTCATGTGTGGACAATACAGGAGAAGGATCTAGCCTTTGAAGAGAAAGCATCCCTGTCGTGTCTTGCTCTTGCTCTCCCCCCAAAAAGAACGCTAGTCTGAGAAAGGGTCACCAGACCCAAAACTCTGATTTTTCTTCACAGATGCTGTCAGATCTGCTGAGCTTTTCCAGCAACTTCTGTTTTTGTTCCTGGTTTACAGCATCCACACTTCTTTTGGTTTTTAGTTATCATTTTCCTGTTGAGTTTCACTTTGATTTGTCTCAGAATCTGGTTGCTCTACTCAGGACTGGAAAGCTCTTCTAACTGGTGCTGGCTGTCTGTGTCCTCATTTCGCTTGCTCCTAGGGCAGGTGGAAAAATCCAGGTAGAGGGGAAGATCATGGAAGAAAGAATGAGTGTGTGAGACAGCTGAGTAAGAGGTGACTGCACTAGTGAATGAATGGCAATGCAGGGTTAGGCATGGAAAGAAAAGGACATGAGTGAGTGTGGGGTAGGCTGATTGAGAAGGAGGTAGTAGAGAGGGGCTTCAGTGAATTTCCTTTCACCAGGTAATACAGAGAACTAGGATGAACCTACATGAAACTTTTATTTTTGTCATCTCGTTTAATACTTTCTTTCACCATTGACAGCTGAATTATAAGTTCCCCAGATCCAGATCCCGCTCTAAGTTACACATCTAAACCTATCCAAATATTTCTGTTGAGTACTTCCATTAGCTGTTATCTTTGATTCAGTTTTAGCTGTGTTGGTTGATACCTTCCTCATTAGCTCAGTATTTTTTTCTCCATGAATTTCTGGATAGATCTTGACATGCTTGTGATTGTGCAAAACAAGAGAAAATGAGTCAGCAACATGTTTTGCATATCTCCTAGTATTTCAAATTAAGCTGGTAAATCAGGCTGCCGACTCATCATCAGTCTCTTTACTCTGATGGACAAATGTGAGATCTAACTCTGAGGACTCTTGAGTGTTTAGCTATATTAAAGTTGCTTCATAGGTATGTTAGTCTTGTAGTATTTGCTGGCATAATTAACTGCCTTCTTTTCTTTGAGCTTCTCCTTCACAACAACTGGCTATTCTTCTGGGTGAATGTGATAGCCAGCGCTTGTGGTCTGCATTGGTACAAATGGCCATACTTAGGAAGGAGGATGTGTTCCTGTAGTCAGAATAAAGGGAATACAAGTAGGACTTTTAAAATTGTCTAGATCTTGGACCATATCTAATAACTAGATGATTAGCTGGATTAAGAAATAGGAGCAGGAGTAGGCCATTTGGCCCTTCAAACCTGCTTCGTCATTCGATAAGATCATGGCTGATTGGACATTCTTTGTGTCCTCTTTCCTGCCCTTTCCCTCTAACCTTTAATTCTCCTACTAATCAAGAATCTATCAATTTCAGCCTTAAGTATAATCAAGGACTCTGTCCCCTGCCACGGCTTTCTGTGGCGAGGACTGTCAACCTCCTCGTCTCAGTCTTAAATTTGCACCGTTTTGTTCTGTGACAATGCCCTCTGATCCTGGACTCTCCCATGAGGGGAAACATTCTATCAGCATTTACCCTGCCATGCCCCATAAGAACCCTCTATGTTTCAATGAGGTCACCTCATTCTTCTAAACTTCAGTGAGTAGAATCCCAACCTGTTTCATCTTTGGTCATTAAACAAACCCCCCATCAGGGATCATCTGAGTGAATCTTTTCTGAACTGCCTCCAATTAAATAGTTTGGAGAAGTTGGGGCTGCTCGTCTTGGAGAGGAGAAGACTGAGATTTATTCTAAGTTCTCAGAGCATGAGGGGTCTGAACAGAGTAGATACAGATTAATTGTTCCCACTCGTAAAAGGATCAAGAACCAAATGCAAGGTGAGAGGGTCTAGGCCCGAAACGTCAGCCTTTCTGCTGCTATGATGCTGCTTGGCCTGCTGTGTAAACCAGCTCTGCACCTTGTTGTCTCGGATTCTCCAGCATCTGCAGTTCCTGCTATCTCTGATGCAAGGTGAGAAACAACGTTTTCACAGAACAAGTAGTTAGGGTCTGGAGTGAGATTTCTGGTAGGGTAATTGAGGTGTTCTAAAGGGCATTAGATGATAATAGAAACAATGTGTAGGATTATGTGGAAAAGTCAGGAGATTGGCAATATATTAAAATAATGGCCAATGAAGCCAAATGGCAGCCTCCTGTACCATAATAATTCTATGATTATGTCATCACCCCTTTTATTCCAGGGATTTTAAATTTGTGTTCCTCGTAGAGTCCCTACAGTGTGGAAGCAGGCCATTCAGCCCACTGAGTTCACATTGATCCTCCGAAGAGCGTCCCACCCAGACCCTATCCTTGTAACCTTGCAATTCCTACCTGGCCTACATATCCCTGTACACTGCGGAAAATTTAGCATGGCCAGTTCATCTAACCTGCACGTCTTGGGAATGTAGGAAGAAACTGCAGCACCTGGAGAAAACTCATGCAGACAAGGGGAGAACAGTGGCAGGGCAGCACGGTGGCTCAGTGGTTAGCACTGCTGCCTCACAGCGCCAGGGACCCGGGTTCAATTCCACCCTTGGGCAACTGTCTGTGTGGAGTTTGCACATTTTCCCCGTGTCTACGTGGGTTTCCTCCGGGTGCTCGGGTTTCCTCCCACAGCCCAAAGATGTGCAGGCTAGATGGATTGGTAGTATTCTGGGATGTGTAGATTAGGTAGGGTATAGGGTGATGGGTCTGGGTGCGATGCTCTGAGGGTAGGTGTGGACTTGTTGGCCCAAAGGGCCTGTTACCACACTGTAGGGAATCTATGAATGTGCAAACTCCACACAAAAACATTTCTGAAGCAATAAAGGGATAAATTTAATTGAGTGTTTGAACAAAATGATCATTACAAAATGCCAAGCAGCAGAGCTAAGTAATAAAACTTTTCAGAAATGGAATGAGAGAAGTAAAGACAAAACTAGGCCACATGTCCTGATCACCAGAGAAAGGGTTGACAACAGAGCTGAGCTCAGAGCTAAGCTGAACTAACATTGACCTGGGTTCTCTTCTGATGGGGCATACTTTGAATTGGCCTTTGTGAAATCCAGAGAAAGTGGGGGGTCAGAAATAGGTTGTGTTTCAACCTGTTTTCTGCTCCTGCTTTTTGGGTAAGAGTTTTTGTTGGGAGGAGAGGGAAGACAAGTGGGTGTGGGTCAGACTTGACTCTCACTTACCCACTCACTCACTAACTCGCAAAGGCCTCGGAGGTTTGGTCATTAAAAACAATGAGGAATTGAGTGGGATCGCTGAAGTTACTAAATATCATTTCCTTCTGTCTGATCTCACATTCTATTTTCCCAGGTTGTGTTGCTGCTATGGTAACCGCCTCTGACTCCTCATCTCCCTACCCCCCAGGGGGGTGAGGGGAGGCTCAACTCTCCTCTCCACAATCACTCTCTGCCCAATAGATCAACACTCATCACCCTCCTAACTCCAGCAAAACTACAGTTACTTGCCTCTAATTGCACCCTCCCCACCCCGCATTCTGATTCTCATTTCCCTCCTCTTCCCCAATACCCCCAGCAGTCCAACTCTCATTCATCTTTGACCTTTTGGACAAGATTGTACAATAGGGTCATTCTAATCTGAAAACTCTCTCAGGTCAGCTGTTTAGTATTGTACCCTGAACTGTGCCACTGTCAGTATCACTTTTGCCCCTAAGTCAGAAGATTGTAAATTCACGCAAATTAGGCTGACACTCTAGTGCAGTACTGAGTGCTGTGCTATCAGAAGTGCCATCTTGTCAATGAGAAGTCAGATTGAGGCCCCATCTGCCCTTTCAGGTGGCACTCCTTCTAAGAAGAGCATAAACCCTGGTGTAGTTGTTGAAATGTATCCTCTAATGTCAAAAACATTACCTGGTGATTATCACATTGTTATTTGTGGGAGATGGCTGTATGCAAATTGACTGCTGTGTCTACTACATCACAACAGTGGCAATCTTTCAAAAAGTGCTTGATTAGCTAATTAACTATAAAATGTTTTGGGACATTCATGATTTCAAAAGTCACGACTGTATATAAATGTATCAGAGGATAGTTGACGTTTCGGGTCGGGACCCTTCTTCAGAAATATCAGCTTTCTTGCTCCTCTGATGCTGCCTGGCCTGCTGTGTTCCTCCAGCTCCACACGGTTGTTATCTCTGACTCCAGCATCGGCAGTTCTTACTATCTCTGTATATAAATGTAAGCTTTTAAACATTCTATTTAAATTCTTGTTTCCTTGCCTTCAGCACCATCTCAAAATAAATCTATTTTACCTTGTGTTGTTATACCTCCTAACTTGTCCACATATGCTCATTGCTTACTTTCTCTTGAATGAAATGCTTTGGAATATTTTTCTTCATTCCATGCACTTTTGTTCTTTAGCAAATTCATTAAACCATTGAATTCTTGAAATTTGAGAAATAATAAATCATCTGAAGTTTTTTAAAAATAAGTTTTATTGAAAATTACAGAAATGCAGCAATCTTAAAATGTTTTAAACAATTTTTAAATTATTGGGATTGAACAAAATGAATGTTAGAAAGCATAAGTTACAGTGACCAAAGTTTTGACATTTTGTTTGAACCTACTTTGCTGGTATTTCAAAAATTAGATTGCTGCAATTTATCATGATTTTTAAAAAAAGTTGGTTGTAGTTTTGTTTAGATGTTCCTTTAGATAACCTAGTTACATTCTTCAGATTGCTGATTACCAGTATTTGTTTCATCCTAATAACTTGCATCACAAATCGTTCAAGCTTAACATTATATCACCTGAATACTTTCAATACTATATGAAATATCTTATACAGTAAATATACAGTTTGGATTACAAACACGCTGTATCAAAATTGGAGTGCAAGAAGTGTCAGAACAATTAAGACTACTACCGTACATTCTGATTTTTCTTTCTCAAGTGATAAACCTTTTAATGTTTAAGTAGAGACCTGCAATCACTACTTTGACAGTGATTGCCAATTTTTGGGAATTTAAATAGGTCTTTGATTTTGACATAATTTTTTTTCTTTTCTGCCAATAAAATAGAAAAGCCTATGCCATAAATTTCTCAATAACCAGTGCAGATTTCATTGCTGGAATAAACCAATTAGGATTTAATTAATCAAACAAGTTTAATTGAATCTGAGAAAAAGGAGATCTGGAGTCATTATTTTACTCAGAATATAGCTACAACTTAAGAAAAATGATGTTGTATCATCATTTATTGGGAATATTTTGATGCATTCTGGAACAGACTTTAGTCCGGTTCTCTTGAGTTTCATGTATAGAATATCTCGTGTAAGTTCAAAATCAAGCCCCATTATTTTCATGGAACAACCTCTGGGTACATGGGGCAAGCCCACTAAAGACATCATGTTATGACCAGGCGAAAGGGGAGTCCCCAGAATGAGGTCTTCATGCCAAAATAAAAGTCTGTGATTATGTTTTTGTTTTCAAAAAGTCAAATCCTATTTTTGTAATCTTATACATTTCCTGTACGATACTTATTTTGCAGTCTAGTTATTTGGAAAGTGTTCACATCACTGAGTTTAACTGTGCATTTTGTATTAAAGCTGAAAAAGACAGTTGTCCACTGTAGTTATTGATGCTTCCTTTTGAACATGTTACATCCTATCTGTGTCTGCTTCACTTTTGTGGTCCCCATAAAATGGCCTATTGCTGAGAGTATATCATCCTGTCCTGGCTGGATAGCCAAGATCCCCCTGCAGCTGTGTAAATGGGATTTGCTTAACGTTATTTGAGTGTAGACTTATGTGCAGCTGCACCGAGTTAGTCATTTTGGAGGACATTTGACAAGAGGATCTTCATGTTTTAGTTCACTAGTATTCAAACTAAATCTACAGAATTTTGGCTGATTCCTTATCCACATTATCTTACAATGCCACAACCTCAATATTGATAGGACACAGAATTCTTCCAACTAGTGCCAAATATTTACAGCATGACACACCAATCTTAGATGAGGGAAAACATGACTTAGTGGTTGTTGTGAACCACTCATTTACGATTTAACTAACTGAATAACCTACATCAGAAGTGATTTAAGGAAAAGGTTATAGTAATTCAAATTTATGTCATTGGCTTTTTCATTTACAGACACACACACAGCGTAATACGTATGATGAATGACAAGAAAAGTCAGAATTTACATTACTTTGCTTTTTGGTTGCAGTGCTTTCGTAATACCACAAAGGTATCAAATCCACTGCCTTTTGAATCCTAATACTATAAACATGATGATTAAGTGAATGTGAAGGAGCCTCTTATTCTCTGCATAAGTATTTCCAGTGTAGGTACAATTTTGTTCACCATGTACTCATTTTCTGAAATATCAAAAATGTGCAATCATTAGCGCTGTAAACAGTAGCTTCCGAATACAACTGACAATAGCACAGACCCTAGCCGTAATGCAGCAAAGGTCAACTTGACTTCTTTTGAGTGGAGATGAAAGGAAGGTGAAGTGCTTGTAGGATCCAATAGTTAAGGCTTTAAATGCATTTTGAGTCCCAAGAGAAGCACATGGAATTGATAATCAAAGAAAGTAAAATTGGATTGGTCAGAGAAAGTTTGTGAACCCCAAGTTTTTACAGGTCGAGGACTTTTCTTGTATCTAATCCAGGAGTAAACAAGGAGTGATAAAAAGAGTATCCTAGATTTGGTTATAGTAGTCAAGTTTTTGATGTTATACTGGCTTTATAAAAAATAAGGAGCCAAGAGTTGTTTAGGGTGTAAAAGGAACTATTTGAAGAATGAAAAGTCTACAACTAACATTTTACTTTTGTGTAGTAAGTTTAAATCTCTCTAAAACCCAGGATTATGGTATATGTTTTGCAGGCTATAGGGTTGTAAAATTGAACTTTACCCCATCTGTATATTAGCTCCATAATGGCTTTCAAGTTTTCATACCAATGCATCCTGCAGATAATAAATTAATTGTCCACAATTCACAATTTCTTTCCATTAATGATTACCTCTGGTAAACTGAGTTGTGCATTTCCTTTCCGCTTTCCAACATATCTCTCCACCCCCAAAGGTTAAATGAAATGCTCCATTTTAAAATGTTTCACTTTGATCCATCTTGTGGTCTGAGTAAGGAAAGAAGTAGTCAATAGACTCAAAAGATAAATTTTTTTGGAATACAGTATTTGGTCAGTGGCTTGGACAATTAGCCCATCATGTCAAATGTTTTTGATAATTCTATATAAAGCAAGAATATCAAGGCATATAATTAATTTACCTTGAGAAGAAAACACCAATGTACTCCTGCTTTCAGGTTTTTTAGTTTTCTGGGCACCTTCAGTTCAACTTTACTATTTAATGAAAAATACAGCTAAATATGAAACATTTGCTTCTTTACAAAATGAATAAGCAATTTTGTCATTGAGAATAGGGCAATTTGGAGATTAAATATGTTGGCAAGTTGAGGAAATTGTGACAGGATAAATCAGGATACCTTTGAAATGGAAGGTACACTCAGTGGTGGTGTGTGATTGTTTATTCAAGCAATGCTTTGAAACTGATCCTGTAAGCTTTCTGGTTTCTTCAGGTCTGTATCTAGGAAGTCTTCTGGCACATCATCTGCACTTTTGATATTTTCCTGTATTGTCTGCTGTTGATCAACCACTGGAGGTTGTTTTCTCCGACAGAACCCTTTTTTAGATGGCCGAACTAATGCTAGAAAAAATGCACCTAAACTCAGACCAATTCCACAAAAGAAGAACACAGATCCATAATTCTGACCCGTAATATCCACAAGCCAACCTGAAAGCAAAAAAAAAGTCAACTTAATCTTTTACACTTAGTATTTTTTCAGTAGTCTCAAGATAATTTAAAAAGTGGTAACCTAAACATTGTCACATTAAATTCAATTTATATAAAATGGAGCAGAAGTATAAATGAAATGAAACCGTGATCAGCTGAAGCATTCATGGGTTTACTTCAAAATTAGTACATTGGAGATAGAAGCACATTAAATTTTCACTTTGCTAATACTATCAGTACTCCATTTCATGGAATTCATAAACTCCTCAAAATGTCACTTAAAAGAAGCCTTTGGGTTCTAATGGTTGGTAAGTTGGAAATTAAAAGCTCAGTTTTCACTAAATTTTACTTGTGCTGTTGAACTTTCTTCCCAGGAAACCTGCCTAATTGGCATTCAAATACTTTCTTTAAAGGACCAGTAGGATTGTTACAAGTCAACAGCATGATTGAACATTTCTCGGCTCTGTGGAAGGGTCACTTGACCCAAAACATTAACTCTGATTTCTCTCCACAGATGTTGCCAGACCTGCTGAGCTTTTCCAGCAATTTCTGTTTTTGTTTCTGAACATTTCTTATCCGGATCATTGGATTGCCTGGAAAGCTTTCAGGCTTTGACTTGTAATGACTGCATATATTTGTAATTGGAGTAAAGGTTTTACACAGCTTGTAAGAATTTGATTCTGGTAGATTAATGACTGAACTATGCTATACAGTTTGCAGAATGTTTACTGTAACATTGCATATCGAATATTTTTACACTTCAATCATTTAGATGGTTTTCACTAATTATCCAACTGAGGAAGTGAAACAAGGGAGTACCATGATCAAAGATGTTTGCAAGTAACATTGAGTTGTGTGATGGGGATGAAGAACATTAGAATATCTCAAGAATAGGGGCAGACAGGATGTGTAAATTAGTAGACAACTAAACCAATAGCAATAGTCTACAGGATTCACTGTGGTGGGTGGGAAGAAAGAAGAGAGAAAAAAAAGTGTGGTGAGGCCATTGGTGGAGATGCCAAGGGGAAGAAGAGGTATGCCTAAGACCAGTTGTAAGATGTGATGAGGAGAAGCAACAGGACTGGAAGAGGAAAAAGTATCTGATAGGATCAATGAGCACTGTGGTGATATTACACACAGTGGGAGAAACCGGAAAAAAAGTTTTCTAGTGATATTTCAAATATTTTTAAAATAAGATGTACAACATTAATTTGATGATAAACTGTAAACTTAGCCACCTGGCCAAAGTAGCCTTATTTTGGGATTTTCTGGCAGCATATGTTCACATAGCATATATTCTAAATTCAAGTATTCTGTCTTTTTTGATCAGTTATTTAAGGGGAAGTGCACAGCTTCTTCCTGAAGATATACTGTGATGGAGGAAATACCTGCTGAGATTCTAGACAGTTACTTTTGAATTAGATTAAATGTATATTCCAGTCTGTCTTATTTCACTCTCACTGTGGTTTATACACTGGTGTATGGAAATTTGGGCATGACGCAGTAGTGATGAAATCAAAAGCAATACCTCCAATAGGTGGCCCAGCTAGTCCCGAAAAGCTCTGAATAAAAATGTAGATTCCAACAGCAGATGGCATCTTCTCAACTCCCACGACATCATCTTCTGCTAACATTGGAATGTGAGTACTAGCCACAGTGCCAAACATGAATCCATACAGCATGCTGCATGTAACAAGGCTCCAGAAGCATCTCGCAAAAGGAAAGCATAGCAACACAATACTCAGTAGGCTTACACAGATCAGTTCAATGTATATCTTCCGTATGGGCTGCTTATTTAGTACACAGCCAGCTGAGAACCTACCAAATACCTCTGTAATTGCCATAGCAGACAACATATAAGCTGCCCAGTCATCAATACCCAGGCTAATGCTAAGGGGAATCACATAGAGGTGAGGTGCAAAGAATCCCAAACTGGCAAATAGACCAAAAAGTGCGTAAAATATGAAGCTTTTGTTTTTTAGAATTAAAAAGTCAAGCAACTTTGGTTGATTCTCTGATTTTAGCTTCCTATCTGGAAGCATTTGAAGATTTTCTTTGAGAGCATCATTTGTTTTACACTTGTTACTATGTTCCAAGTTATCACATGAGGTAGATAAAGATTCCACTCCCGAATCCACAGATTCTATAGAGATGCACGTTTCCTCATTCTCCAACATGTACTTCGTCTCCATGGCCACATCCACTGTTTTTTTCTCAGTTTTCCTGATAACAATTGGCCGAAGTAGTGCTCCACACACAACAATGTTTAGTTGCAGTGCACCTATGATGAGGAGACAATTTTTCCATCCAAGATGGTTCTTCAGTAATGTAAAAGCTAGACAGAGGAAAAGACAACTTCATTATTCGACTCAGAGATAGTAGAACTGCCGATGCTGGAATCAGAGATAACACAGTGTGGAGCAGGAAGAATGTCAACGTTAACGTCAGCTTTCCTGCTGCTCTGATGCTGCCTGGCCTGCTGTGTTCCTCTAGCTCCATACTGTGTTATCTTCATTATTCAACTACCTTCTTATTCAAAGCAGACAACCATTCAGTAATATCATGACTGATCTTTACCTTAACATTACTTACACAAATTGTTTCCATATCCCCAAATATCCTCACATTAAAAGTCCATCATTCTTTCAATTGTATTACAGACAAATGATTTTGGACAGTATTCCAGATTTCTGGTAAAAAAAAATGTATTTAAATACAGCCTTTAACAGTCCTACACCATGATATTTTACCATTATGGGAGACAATACTTGACAGCACGCCACTTATGGATATTTTAGGATGTGTGACCAAAGATTTATTCAGAGGTAGTTTTGAGGAGATGTCTGCAGGGAATTATATCCTAGATACACAACCACCAAGGGAACAGTTTGTGTAGCATTATAGGGCTGCTGAAAATCCCAGAGTTATGGTGGTTCAAAGTCCTGAAAGGTTCCAAACACAAAGGTTCGGGTTTTGAAACAATACTGGATAGGAAAGTGACATGGGAGATGTATGAATGAGACTTGGAGAGTTGGGAAATTGAAAAGAGAACTTTGGCTAAGCTGACATTTACAGATGATGGCCACAAGCCATTATATTTTACAAGATCAAATCTAAAGCATCTGCTTTAACTCTGGCTTTATTGATGTTTCAAGTGGGAAATTTGCTAGCTTTATTGTTTAGCATTTAGTATTGACCCCTGTTTAGCGTCACAGGAGACCAATAGGTATCAGTAGATAATTCAGTTACAGGCGACTGTAAATCTAATCCAATTGTGAATCCACACAAAAAGGTTTGAAATGTAGATTGATAAGTTACTTGTCAGTGTGTACAAGTGTTGGTGGTAGTACCAATAATAATGTATGAGTATATTTGATCTTTAAGTCATCCAAATGCGGTAAAGTACAATCTTTGTAGCAAACTTGCATTGTGGTCATTAGCCAACAATTCTATGAATAATCGGCCTCAATTTAAGAATTATAATGTTAGTTCAGATACTTACCGTGCGCAAAAGTGAAGACTGCAAAACATTCTCCTGTGGATGCTACAGCCATAACAAGAGAACGATATTTATCAAAGTACTGGGAGAGGATTGTGACTGTGGGAAGGAAGCTGAGGCAGAAACCTACTCCTGTTTTAGAAAAAAAATAAACTAATCAATGAACTAACAATGTCAGTATTTAACTAAGCGTGCAGTTAAACTTACTTCTGTAAAGTATATATTTAGTACTTTTGAGAAATACAGCAAACTTTTTATTATCCAGCACCCACAGGACCAAGAGTGTGCCAATTGATAAAATATCTGGAGAATCAAGAAGTCCACATAGTGTGCGTTTTTACATTAAGTAATAGAAATGTAATTCGGGGGTATACACATTGGTGTTATACTTTGTTACAGCCATTTGATTGAACAAGTATATTTACATTTGAGGTAAATTTTAAAAACTACAATAGTGGCCTCCTCTACATCGGTGAGACCAAGTGGAAGCTCTGAGACCATTTTGTAGAGCATCTGCGCTCTGTTCGTGACAAACAACCACACCTTCCAGTCACAAACCATTTTAACTCCCCCTCCCACTCCCTGGGTGACATGTCCATCCTGGGCCGCCTCCAGTGTCACAATGACGCCACCCACAAACTGGAGCAGCAGCACCTCATATTCCACCTCGGAAGCCTACAGCCCGATGGCCTAAATGTGGATTTTACCGGTTTCAAAATCTCCCCCCTACCCCCAGCCTCATCCCATGACCAACCCTCCCTTTCATCCACGCCTCCTTGACCTGACACAACCTGTCAATCTGCTCTCCCACCTATCTGTTCCTCCAAGCCCTACACCCTACCTATCTCCATCCCACCTACCTTTCCAGCACCACCCCTCCTCTTTCTATTTATTTCCGAGCTCCCTTCCCCTCCCCATTTCTGAAGAAGGGTCCCGACCTGAAACGTCAACTTTTCTGCTCCTCTGATGCTGCCTGGCCTGCTGTGTTCCTCCAGCTCCACACTATTATCTATATAATAGCGAACGTTGTGGTATTTGAAGTGCATCCTTTTTGTTGGTTTATCAAAAGTGACGGTTCATAAGGTCTGGTTAAAAAAGTTTGCTGTATTCTATTCGAGTTTTTAAACCATTATTAGTGCTGCTAACATTTAAAGAAAAATCTGAACACCCAGTCTTTAGCCAACAGAAATATGCCACAATATTTCACATTAAAAAGAATTGATTGTTTTTGAGAATTAAACAGGAACCACTAACTTTATAATGTAGTTCATGTTATACGCTCTTACTCCTTATTTTCCTGAGGAATGTTACGATCTTACTTCTGTAGGGACTGCCTGAAAGTATGCCACAGTCTACCAGAATTCACTAATTCTTTGAGTGTTTCGTGTTCTAAAAGGAAGATCTAACACACTGTACTTTGGATGACTCTCTCTTTTGTTCTGGTTACTTTCTCAATTCAAATTTAAATTAAGCCCCACCTACATTTCACCAAGTTTTTCAGCTAAGACAGTAAGTTGACTCTTTGCACGGACCTCTTTGGGGCATTGAGTACAAGAATGAGGAAGTGATGTTGCAGCTTTAAAGAAGTTTGGTTAGGCAGCACTTAACAGTATTACATTCGATTCTGGTCACCACACTATAGAAAGTTGTGGAGGCTTTGGAAAAGGTGCAGAAGAAGTTTACCAGGATGCTACCTGGATTAGAGGGTATGGGCTATAAGGTGAGGCTGGACAAATTAGGATTGTTTTCTCTGGCGCGGCGGAGACCTGATAATTTTATAAACTTCTACAAGCTGCAGAGAGGGTTTACAGTTAGAATCTTTTTCCCCCAGAGTTGAAATATCTAATACTAGAGGGCATGCATTTAAGATAAGAGGGACAAAGTTCATAGGAGATGTAAAAGGCAATTTTATTTACATATAGTGTTAGGTGCCTAGAATGCGCTGCCAGGGATGGTGGTGGAGGCAGATATGATAGGGGCGTTTAAGGTACTTTTAGATAAGCACATTAATAAGCAAAGAATGGAGGGATATGGACCATGGGCAGGCAAGCAGGGCAGGGATTAGTTTAACTTGGCATCATGTTTGGCACAACATCTTGGTTGGTTCCTGTGCTGTACTATTCTATGTTCTATGACTCAGTGGTCAGAAGGTACCCCACAAAGAAAGAAATCTTTGTGCTGTAATTGGAGATAAGTGGTGACAGAGAATACAATGACAACAAAGTTTATAATATAGGTAAAATCATTAATGTCACAACCATACACTGACAGCTACTGATCTAGTAGAGACTAAAAATTGATGGAAAATCAGAGAACGAAGAGCAACTTTCATAGAAAGTATTGAGAGTAGGGCAGTGGATGGTAATAATGAACAATGGTGGACATAAATGCTAATGTGTTGATTCGGCTGCAGTTGCACTTAGAGAAAATCCGAGTGCCGAAATCATGAAATCATCTTCCCAGTAATTCATTGTAATACAAGCCAAATGAAAGTTGTTTTATTTTATTGTTATAAATAATGAGAAGCAGTCGTTTGTCAACCAGTCACGCTGACTTATTTCTTGGCAAGTTCTAAAATTCAGAATTTGCTAGTCTAAAAATGCTAATGGTGGATTAATGATGACCAATATTTATCAAACCAGAGTAGGAATACAGTACTATGGTATTCTAGTGCCCTTTGCTACAATGTGTTTCTAAACTTTTGTGTTATTCCCCCCCCCACCCCCACCCACCACATAGCCAAAATCAGGAATTTTGGGAAAGGAACAGGGATGAGATAATAGGTGGGAGAAACATGAAGATTAGCAACTCCTCTCCTGGTAGAGTAGAAGTTGTTCAGCTCCTACCAGCTGGTTTCAGGTTGGGGTTGGCATTTGTATATTAGCTACCAATCTTCTTGATCAGTAAAGGATGTATTTATGTAGGAAACAAAGTAGTATATATGAAAGTAAAATTAAAACAACCAGAGTTAAATGCATATACATGATCGTATTGACTTAGGTAGCATTTTCAATGCCTTTCTAGAAGAAAAAAGATTGGGCAACATTACAGTCAATTTAGATATGGTAATAACAGAAAATTTATAAATTTGAATATAAAGTGCTGCAAGGCTTTGTCTGCTGCAGCCTTCTGTCTAATCCATACGGTCATATCAATTACCTGAGACTACTCCAATGGCAATGTACATTTCTACAATTGAATGTGCAAACGATGCTGCCATCATTCCCATACTAACGAGCAGTCCACCCAGCATTACTACTGGGCGGCAACCAAAGTGGTTACTTAGTATAGTGGAAAGTGGTGCTGTAAAGAAAAATAAAACAATGTAAGCACAAATATATTTAGAACTGCTTAATTGCAGTTTGGATAATTAATAGATAGTCCAAACTCCCAATGTTTCCATTATTATATAAAATGTAAATGTGGCTTTAGATTATATGTCTGTTTGCATAAACTGATCAATGCTGATGTTTACGTTGAATGTTCCTGTCAAGTTATTTGTATGGACCCTTCCTATACTTTGGTTTTCTGTGTAACAGCGGTTTGTTTGCTATTGTAATACAAGCACCTTTCCTGCACAATACTTTTGCAAGTGCTCTGCTGCAAGTAAGAAAGACCTAACCAAAAATGAAAAGTACAAGCCATTAGAAAGGGAAAAAGCCACAGGAATAAAATGCAAGAGAATTCAACAGCTCACAGTCACAAATTTCAAAGGGAATAGAACAAGTAAAAAATGAAAATGGGTGTTTGAGAAACTCTAGATGCCATACAGGAAGAAAAGAGGAGACGTAATGGAGAAGTGCTCTCCGTGGAAGTGTTGTCACTAGGATTTCAATAAAGTACAATTATAGTTTGTTGCACAGACTGGAAGAAAAAAGAAACAGCAAGATAAAGAGTTGACATCTTTTGTATTACCAATTTGGGTTATATTTGGAATAAGCACAGCAATTTGAGCTGAATTAAGTATTACATGAGAAGTGTACTAGTATAATAAAAGCAAGTTGCTTTAAGTACAATTAGTATAATCATTTATGGTCATAAATAGGCCTAGTGATAACACCAGTACCGTTTGGCAAGGTTCAATAAATGGTCCAATTGGTAGAAAATCTTGAGGCAACAATTATGTAAAAGCAACAGTGCATGACAAAAGATGATGTCTGCAGTGGAAAAGGATGGAGACAAAGTCGCAGATACATAGATAAAAACAATATTTCAAGAAGAGTAGAAAAATTATTGTTCCATATAGCTGGATTATTTTACATAGCAATCCCTGTTGCAGTTCATACAAACTGCATGTCTAGCAGTTTTCTTTTTAAATGTGAAGGCAAGAGAACACTACTGATTTTACCAGAAGATTTACAATTTTAAATTTTTGGAAGAAACATGCCCATGTCAATTCGCAGCTACAGTGCAAGAATGGGTGCTTTTCTTGGGTAAAAAGATCAGAAGAGACAATGCCACAATCTTGTGACAGAAACAGACTGACTGACACTGACCTACATCTCCATCCTAATATCAACTGTGACTTCAAAGTATCTTGATGTATTACCATAAAATTTATAACTATGTATAAAAAAGGACCTTCCTATAAAAAAGTAATTGAATGAAATATTTGGGACATATTTAGCACAGACATAAAACTGTTTAATTGCTGAATTGCCTGTATTCAATAAAAAGGTTTTGGTTAATATTCCCTAAACCACCATTCAGACCCATTTCAAGAAAGTTGTGTTCATAGTCAGCCTTGGTGACTGACTTGTAGGCATATCTGTGGAACAGAACTTGTTGCATTCACTGAACCCAGGTCACTTTCAGTTGCCACAACTGTAACACTGATGGCATTTAAAGATTGATAATTTTGATTACTAAAAGGTTTTCCAATGAGATTAAAGCTAGGACTGAGGAGACCTTGAATCATTTCTTTTTTACATGACAATGTTATAAGAGTAACGTGCAATATTGAAGTGGTGAAATGCAGGTTCTGTCCACCCACTTGGCTGGTGTTGATTTCGTGCCATTTTGAGAAGTGGCCAAGAGCTTCCCCACATGGTTGGAATACACAATGAAATACCATGCTGTTACTGGTAAAGATTAAAGGCTCGTAATTTTGCATAGTACAGTTGTTTGAGATTGTACAACAAAGCAATTTTCTTTTTATTAGTAGACCGTACTATCAAATTTGTTCTACTTTTGCTTCATATGTTTAAGTGACATTTATCAAAATGTACACCAAACAGTACAGCTGTAAGGATTCAACATGTAATCAGTTAGGCAAGTCTCAAATTATTTGAGAGTTCCTGTAACATAAAATACTTGATGATAGATTTGGCAATCTCAAAATTAAATTTGTACTTTTACAGCGAAAGTGCTCCTTCAAGCCTGGAGTGAAAGTAAATTATGAGCCAAAGAAGATTTCCAGGCTATCTCTTGGCCTGCAAGTCTCAATTCTTGGACATTTAGGCATGTCTGGTTTTGAGAGCAAGAGACTCACAGAGTAACCCCTGTGACTAATGGCCAGCCCCATTATGTGATGAAACCAACTCAAAATTAAAGATCAGGCCATTTCCAGCAGTGTCTCCAAGGTAGACATGGCAGCAACAACTGACTGTGGTCAGAACCTCCTTCAACCTTGTTGATTGTGGCCCTAATGTGTGATCTCTTAAGGACACTGACTATACAACAAACCAGTTATGCAGTTGTGTTTTCAAGCATGCAAGCCCTTTTGCTTATGTGGCTAAATCCTAGTTTCCAAGCGAAAGTGGCCCTTCTCAATCACTGGCATTACTTGCCTTACTGCTTCCCCAACTAAGATTTTTTTTTAAGAAAGTTCTGCAGTCTTGTGTAAGATCTAGATATATAAACTTGCACTGTGTAATGAATGTACACATTGCTGCATTGCACTGAACTACACATATTTAATAATCAACCAGTAAACTGAAAGTTTAAATACTTACTGTTTCTGATTAACCTAAAAATATTAAATTTGCACATACTGCACATCAATTTTTTCCATTACAAATTCCTAATAAGGACTTTCCTCCCTGGTCTAAATATGAAAATGCACCCTCTCTATCAATGTCAAGTTTCACCCAAATGTTCTAAGAATTGCCCACTGTTGTAAATAAGACCAAAGGAAACACTATACAATTCTTATTCGAGTATTATTCGAAGATTTCCAGCTGACATGCACTTTAGATCCAGCAAGTTCAACAAGCTACAACTTTTAAATGTGACTTCTATTGATGGTTGTAAAAGAATGCATTTAAAGAAACGAAACAAAAATTCCAGTGGATGTCTCAATGAAGATAAATACTTCTAAAATGCTCAAAATGCCAATAAATCCCCAGAAAATGGCTATATTCCACTATGCCTGAAAATATAGCTATAATTTGAGGAGGATTGCTGAGTGACTACAATTGCAGGAAGATCACATAACAAAGGGACTTATTTAAGTAGCATACTTCATTTGTGACTTGAGCGTGTGCATGTGTGTTTCTGGGCACAAATACAGAACAAAGTCTAACCAACTAAATCCACTTTTATCAATTAAATCTCTCTTTCTAAATTAGATCCCATCCAGCCAAGCTTTTGCAGTTTCTTCAAAATAAAACCAAGAGCTATGGATGCTGGAAATCTTAAACAAAAACAATATGCTGGAGAAACTCAGTGGGTCTGGCACCATCTGTGGAGAGTAAAGCGGAGTTAATGCTTCAGTCCAGTGATCCTTCATCAGAACTAGCTCTGTCAGACCTACTGAGTTTCTCCAACAATTTCTTTTTTTTTTGCAGTTTTTTTTGTTTGGTGTCTCCCATTCTTCAGTGAATACCATGAGCAAAATCTTTTGCTCTGATTACTTCCTTACCTCTCCCTCCTAGATTGCTGCTTGTTTTGCTATCTAAATGCGGGCAAATCGTATCAAATTAAGTATTAAAAAACAAGACAATAGATTCCTAAAATTAGTTTTTCTATGCTGTAGTCCAGGTATCTCTAACCCTTTAACTTTGCTTCACCTCAAGACCAAACTTGGCCCTTAATTCCCTCACAAGCAATCAACTTAACATTAGTTCAATGTTAACAAATACATTTTGAACCCCACTAATAATCTCACTTGGTTTTATTAGGAAGGATGACGAATTTGTTATTTACTCATATTTCAAGAGAGTAAAGTATATAAGTAGATTGGGTTAACATCAAAATCCTTAAATGGATTTGCAACAGCCTGGGCATCTATCATTTAATATTCAAATTACAAAAACATAGAATGCCTACAGTGTGGAAACAGGCCATTCAGCCAACAAGTGCATGCCAACCCTCAGAGCATCCCACCCAGACCCATTCCCCTATAACCCATCTAATCTACATATCCTGAACACTATGGGACAATTTAGCATAGCCAATCCACCTAGCCTGCTCATCTTTGGATTGTGGGAGAAAACCAGAGCATCCGGAGGGGACCCATGCAGACACAGGGAGAACATTAAACTCCACACAGACAGACAGTCACCCAAGGGTGGAATTGAACCCGGGTTCCTGATGCTGTGAGGGAGCAGTGCTGACCACTGAGCCACTGTGCCACCCTATAATAGTAATTCCTCTACACTGCCTCTAGTACTAGGTTTATATAAAAAAATAAAAACTGTACACATACCTCAGTGTTTTTGGACAACTCCCTATTTGTATTGAACTATTTTGGCTATGTGGTGCTGTAGGCTTTGTTTATTGCTTGTGTGCATTAGTTAGGCATGATGAACATTTAGATTAAGAAAATTCCTAGGTTTTTTCTAGATTCATCCTTTCTTCTATTGCACTATTCCAGTAAGGAGTAAATCTCAGTTCAGTAACTAATGCACGCAGTCAGTGAGATCTTTTGTTCCTGTCAATGCTGATGTTCAGACTCAGCTATTCAAACGTCTGGAAAGGTTTATTCCGCAACATATGGATTTAGATCAAGCAGTACCAAGGTTGTGAAATAATTCCAAATGTTGTTAGGTCTTTAAACTTTCATTGCCTGAAGGAGAGCCTGTGAGCATGTAAACTTCAAAGCAGCCCCTCACTGCAACCCTCCCTCCTCCACCAAATGGTCAAGAAGAGTAGAGTGGAAATAATAAATATGGATGAAAAGGCAACAGAAGCTAGTAATTATTCAGATAGTGCTGGGCAGTGGACCATATCTGGCTGGTTAGTAGTGGCAGATTAAGAGAGACGACAGGGTGAGAGAATGAAGGGTAAAAGAAGTATAGATTCCTTTGTTGGAGAGGAAAGGCTTGTATTTTTTATTACTTATTTTTAAGCAGCAGAGGGTAAGTATCCAGTGCTGCTAATGCTGTCAATTGCTGTGACATCTGGATGTATTTTAGTTTGTGAGCCATAATGGCAATTTAAGTTTCCTTTGTTTAATTTTTGTGAAATATGAATGCTCATAAACAAAATCCAAGAATGTATGTGAATCACAACTGCTACTAATTCTAAATCATGGTTTGAAAAAAAAACTTAGTTACTAAATTCCTAAATTTCAGTATTGAAAAGATTACATCAGAGCATCTTAATATACTGCTTCCTTTATTATAATTGTCTCCAAATAGAACTGGCAGTCAAGGACTCTCAGAAAAATAGAATTGAATCACTGAGGACCAGCCGACAAATTGATAATGTTAAGGAAAAAAAATAGGAAAGTCAACTGTGTTGTGAATTGTGCTAGAAATATAACTATCTCTAGATGGTCAAATATGAAAATGGAAATATGTGCAGTAAGGCTAATGCATTCAAACTCAGTCTGTAGAACACTGCCTTCCAGTGTGCGCAGTGTTTCATGGAAAACATGATCCTCACTCAAATTTATTTTGATGGTAGATTGAACCAAAAAGGCAGGGTTTCTTCACTGAATGCATGGAGGCCATGTCTGTTCAAGGAAATTGTGTATCTTCCACGGTATTAATTTGTCACCGAATATAATTAGCACTACAGACTTCTGCTAAAGAATGGAGAGGACTGGAAAGAAATGTAAATAACGTTACAGTAGCCGATGGTGATTGCTCCACATGTCTAGGTGGGGAATGGAAGAAGGGTGAAACAAGTCAAGATCTATTTGGGACAAGGTAGGATGGTGGGGAAAGTGATGATCACAAACCATAGCAAGACAAACTTCTTACTTCGGAGTTCAGTGGTGAGCATGCACTTTTGCAACTTCTACATTCAGTAAATAACAATATTGTAAGAGGTGGATTCTGGGTTCAGACCATAATGGCAGGACTGCCTCAAAAGAAGTGTTGGAGTGGGTATCTCAACGAGGCATTAGGCCCCTTATTTGCATGTTACAAAACACCCAAATGCTGCTTCTGAGTGGGTAAAAATATCTTGGACTACCCAATACAGTGGATTTCATGCCCCCCATTTGGGAGGCCTTGGGTACCAGTGCAGCATCTGAAAAACAGATATTTGTTTAAGTTCAGCTATTCCCAGTTAGGATTGGGAGCGGAATGAATATAAGGCAGCTGCAGAAATCCAGCTTCCAAACAAAAGTTTAGACTTTTTGAAATAAATTTATTTGGAAGGCTAATATTCTTCATGAAATGATGGAAAAAGTGTAATCTTGGATGCAGCCTCAGAAAAAAGTAGCAGTAAGATACGGTAAGCAAAAATATTTTTTAACTAAGTTTTTTGCTGTTAGATTATCACTACTGTTCCAGATGCTCATCAAACATGCCAATTTGTATGTTGACTGTGTAAATGTAGTTTGTGGAATTTTAATGGTGTGCCAAATTATGCTTGGGGCTCAAGAATAAAATTGAATGTTTGCTTCTGTAGCAACATAAAGTTTCTCACTGGTACTAATTATCCAGGTGACTGTGTTAGATTTATGGTGTCTAATATCAGTTTTGAAGCAATAGTGTATATTGAATACTGCTGTTATCCATAGTCGTCTTTTGGAGACTGTGATTGATTGTAGATGGTGGAACCTTAGTTCTAATGTAGTTCTGGAAATGGTAAAATGCAGGATTGTGTTCATAATACACACAGAACAAATTCACAAGCAGAAGCGAGGGTGAGGAGACAGCGGGCTAAACAACAGGGCAGGAAGAAGGAACATTAACACATTCACTCTCTCACACACACAGGGACACCACTCCCCCGGTCCACTCACGCACAACTCCTAGCAGCCAGTTACAGAGCGGCATTGTTAGAGGTCTGGGAGCAGATTGCCTGTCCACCTTCTCTTCTATAGTAGAGTGAATGGCACAGTGGACCTAAAGAGGGGAAGGAATGAAAATAACTGAGGTGGAAAAAAATATGAGAAAAAAAACATTAGTTGATTTATCATCAAGTTTGAGTACAGAATGTCATATACATTTGTTTTAAACCAATCTGCATAGGAGTGGACAGATTACAACGTATCAAATGTGTAGCAACAGCTATGGACATTGGCACATAGGTGGAGTTAAGATACACAGCCATGACAAAATATAATGTTGAAGCAAGAAGGAGAGGATAAATGGCCTGCTCCTATTCCAATGTTTTTACAATTGGGTGAGTAAGCACTTGGTTATGTTAAAACAAAGTACATTAATGGGGAGAAGCCTTGTGGCTTCATGCTCACCACCACACACCACATCCAAACTCAGTGTGGAGTCAGAATTTAAAATTAAAATTGTGATGAAACAAAGTTAACATTCATTCACATATAGCTTATCCAAAAACACAAAGAATTTTCCACTTGCAAAGTAATAGGCATGTTCTTCACTATATAACATTTTGTTTTCTAAACTCCCTATCCCCACAACCCTATCCAAGGTCAAAGACTACAGCCCCAAAAAAATGACATTTAAAAATGTTTGACCCTAAAGCAATGAAAATTAAAAAAAAAACAAAGGTATTTAATCAGGTAGAGAGATTACAATTGCCCTAAACTCTACAATGAATCTCAGGTGGAACAATACACAGACATAGCATTTCTAGAGCAAAGAAGCAGTAAATTAAAAATCAAAACGCTAATAGGTCTCGATACTTGTTGATTGATTTTGATTTTGTGATATTGCACAGCACAAGTCCAAGTTTTCTGCCTACTTATCCCTTCTAATGTGAAAATCTTATAGATCAATCACAATACTAGCTCATCTTGTAATAATAAGCAAAGAAAGACAATTAAAAAGCAATTGTCTTTTATTTCTTTGCTCCTAAAATCAATGTATCTTTCTTAACCTATCTCTACTGGCCTTGGAGAAGAGCACAAACTGCAGCATTTTACCGTTTTAAAATTGGCAATATCCAAAGCTCTGAATGCCCTTAATTTGAACGATCAGCAATTTGATAGCTCCTTTCCAAGTAAGCCAAATTCGAATAGCAACCTCAACTGATATTTGCCAGTTTTGGCTAATGCATTGTTAAGGTGGTGGTGAATTAGTGGGGGGTGGCGGTGTGGGGTGTGTGTGGGAGTGGGGTGGGGAGAACAGGATGTGGAAGACAGACGGAAGGGAAACACGTGCAGGGAGTGGTCTTTCCAGCATCACCAGAGTTAGTTGGTGTCCTGACATGCCACCCAGATTCATCATAGCAAAAGTCGAGATTCTTCAGCCTAAATTTCCTCCTAAACTCTCCAAGGATCTAAACAAAATACACAAAACTAAATCTACAAACATCCTTCAATTCTGTTCAACATGATCCATTTTTAAAACAAAGACATTGTTTCTTTCTCCCTGTCTCTCGCATTCCCAATAATTTGAAACAACTTTTCATAGAGGTACATGGATTGTGAAAATCCTGTATAATCAAGTTGTTCCAAACATTTGCAAACTCTACCCCCTCAATCACTGCACAATAAAAAAAACTGCATCATCTCCATGCAATACGTTTGTGTCCTGATTGCTGCACTGTCCATCGATTAATAAAATTAAGGATTAGAACTTACAAAAAACTCAACCCTGACTTCCATTTTATGATTTCAGCTGTCAGAATTACTGCAATGAATTTTATACTGTTCTTGATTTTTCCTAGTTTGCATGTGGTTCATTAGGTACTGTACTGGTACACAGAAGTGCTGTTCAGTCTTCTCTTTGTCTGGTAGTGTTGACGTTTGTTAACGTTTCACTTTAAACTGGATTCAGCAGATTCTTTCGTGACCTAAATTCTTGAGCCGAAGTGGAGTAAGAGAATGTTTAGCAGGCACTAGCTGAAACCTGTTTTGCTGTGGGAAAAAGATTTAAAAAGAAAAGAAAAACACAAAAATCTTATGTTTATAAATAATCTTGGCAAAGTAATGTTTAATATTTTTAATATCATTGGACAGAATTTGATATTTTCAAATAACATTCAATTATGACACATTTTAGCCAAGTTAACCACTGCAGCCAACTATTCTGGGAGATAACAAGCATCCCTAACCATGTAACAGCTTTGATAATATTTTCCTGTACCAGATAAATTCAAGCTGCATTTCCCCACAATCTTTTCCACTGGAATCAACAATGTATATCAAAATCTGGTATATCTTATCCGGCTTTGACTCAGAACTCAGCAATCAACTTTTTTTTCCTTTGTAATTCTTGGCAGTACATTGCATAATATTTTGGGCAGTACAAGGGTGAGGATTAAAAAGTACAGAGCCATATTTTGTGGAGAAAGTAAATTATGCATATGGTTTTCAGCATCATATCTGCTTGGTATTACTATCTCAAATTTAACTTGGGATGACATGATAAGAGTCAAAAGTTTTGTTTTGAGGAGGTTGAAAAATGTACAATGTTGAAAACGAAAAACATCAAGTAGCTCAAATTAGGTAATAATATTGCATGCATGTATGTTAAAGTCTTTTCTTTCTTCTTTAGTTCTTTCTAAATCAGTTACTTTGAATATTTCATTTCCTACTTGAGTGCTGTGAAAAAATACATGTAGGAAAATATTGAGATGCATCATTGTGGTATATATTTTTACTTCTCTTTTGTACCAAATGTAAGGGATCAAAATATAATTTATGTGGCATTCAAAATTAAATCTACAGGACTATTTCCTTGGTTTGATGGCCAGTAGGACTTTAACTTGCTAACTTGTACTTTAAACAAATCTCTTTTAAGAAAAATAAACTTAAACATAATTTTGCAAATAAAGAGATGGTGGAGTAATGAGAAACTGCAACGGGTCACAAGAAATCGAAAAAGTGGAGGAGAAAGGAAAGGAAACAGTTGTGGATGCAGAAACTGAAGAGTTGTTTGTTGTTTTGTTTTCCTATCTGGTAATGTTTTAAGACCAAAAGTAACAGGCCTTGGCTAGCACTGTAATTTTTCCAACAGGATTTTGAATTGCTTTTTTGTAGTTTTGTCTCCAGTGCTGTAAACTCACCAATTTAATGCAATAAGGACTAACCGGCAAACAAACACATTGCTCCAAAACAACTCAACTCAAGTTGGACCAGTCTGCAGGAGACTATTATTGCCCAAGTTTTTTTCTCCATCCTATTGAGAAAGCATATGGCTTCAGACTTTAAAATTCAAACTTGTAACTTTGTTAGTGGATCTTCGGGCCTTGCTCTTTGTTCCACATATTTTCATGGTATATGAGTACACAACATCAAATAGATTGTGTTCAATAAATCTACAAAATAATTAACACCTTCAAATCTAAAAAAGTGAACCTGGTGGTTGTAGCAAAGATTAGCTAGTATCAGAGACTAATGGAACAGACCAAAAATGTTCCTGTTACATACAAAACAAAAGACAACTTAGTTTGAATGTTTGCATATAAATTGCAGTCCTTCAGGACAATACTGTGTGCGAGCACATTACAAGCAGATTAGATGACATTTTGCATCAGTGCTCAAGTTTTTAATTCTATTACAAAATTGAGATGTGGCTGCAAATTTCTAACATTACATAGGATATACACTAAAGGAACAGACCACTTGGGTCAGCCAGTCAATTAACTCTACTTGAGCTTCCTCCTATCCTTCCCTCATCTAACTCTCAGCATAATCTCTCGTTGTCCTCTTCCTCACATTTATCTAGCTTCCCCTTAAATGCAACTAAACTAATTGTCCCAACTACTGTCATTCAGAGTCCAAATTCTCACTACTCTCCAGGTAAAGAGGTTTCTTTGAAATACAAATCTGATTTTTGACAACTATCTTATTTTGATCTCTGGTCTACACCACCATCATGTGGAAGCACTCTGCCAACTCAAATTGTGAAAGTTTTGGTAAAGACCTCCATTAGGTCCCGTCAGCTTCTCAACTCAAAAGGAAAAAGAGACCCAGCCTGTTCATCTTTCCTTGATTGTTATAGGTCTCTTAGTTGTGTTTTCTTCTGGATTATAAGAGTTCAAATCAAGGATATATTGAAGATGAACCATTAGAGTGCTATTATTGGAGACAGTGTACTACCGCAAAGGTACCCCAATAACATCCACCATTTTATGGGGAAAGTGGTGGTACGGGGAAGGGCACTTTTATTTCTTTGTTGTAATAAGATCACCACCTGTACAGTACATGGTGATTCCGTTGGATTGGTATCTACTTTAGATGTATCCCAACAGTAGATTTACAATGAGACCAGAACAGTGTAAACTATTGAGTGCTCTGGAAACGAACACATCCAAAATTTGTGTTGAGCAATGAAAGTTATTACAGTTTTTGGCCCATGAAAATCAATATTATGTTGCCCTACATGCTCTGCAGCCAAATGGCAAGCAAGTAACAAATTGTTGCAATTAAGTGTTGCAGCAGCTTCTCTTACTAAAGTTTACTTTATCATTAAGCATAGCCATCATTGAATTGTAATAAGAATTTGACTCTGATTCCTTTCTTTATGATGGTACAAGACGTCACTTTCTATTAGGATGGAACAAAAGGAATTTGTAGAGAAAGAGGAACACACGGGCAAGGTAAGCAAACTCATTTCTCTAGAAATATTTGTGCTGATGCTACCATTGCAGTACTTTGAGGAAATAAAAAGGACTTTTTAAAAAGGAAACATTTAACATTTACTGCCCCACTACTTCTCCCTTTTCCCCACTAACCCAAAATTTCTTCAGAATTTCTCATTCTACTTCTGATCTTAGACCCTAGATTTCCTCATGTCCTCTGAGCTGATGTGGTTCATAAGACTGTACACCTGCACTCAGAGCCAGCAATTTGCCACTCCACCGAACTTCCTCTTTTGGTCCTCAGATACTATTTCACACTTCAAAACATCCCCTCCTCCCCCACCTGCCACTTCAAAAAAACATGCTCTCAATATTTTGTATTTGCAAACTCTCAGTTTCTACTTAAAGATGGCACTTTCAAAATTGTCTTAAGTGCACTGTTTGAATCTCTCCAAATCAATTTTCCTTCCATGCTATAACATTGAAGCAGCCTTACAAAAAAGTCACAAATGTACCTATAATGGGACTGATCACAGGGTAAAACATACTCCTTACATTCCTCAACCTCTCCCTAGTTTTATGGGATTGACTGTCTCTGCTTGGTTCCACTCTTGCCATGTGACCACAGCCACAGCATACTCAGCAAAGGTTTTCTCTTCCATCCTCACACTGTTGTTAACTTCCAAAGATCTAGGTCTCTCAAGATTCCATCACTGATCCCCTTCTGTTTCTCACCTACAAGCTGCCTTCAGTACTTCTTTTGCAGATATGTTTCAGTTTCTAAATGTAACTTGATCAAATCCAGATCTGCCTCAGACAGTCTATCGAGCCAGAGCTGTCAACCCACATTACCAAAATTCAGTCCTTGAATCCCAAATTTTCTTTAGTTAAAAAAACCAAGACTACCAAAGTCAGCAAATTAGGCCTCTGCTACATTCGTCATTACTGTCCTGTCTTCCTTACCCAACTACCACTCTTAGGGTGAACCAGACTACTCAGTCATGGAAGCCTGGTCAATCCCAAGCGGACCTTTTCACCCAATCATTCAATCACAATCTCTGTGTCAAATCACCTGTGTATAGATGGTCAGCCATTGTTGCATCACTTGCAGACTCCACTATCCCAATGCTCTTCTGTTTGGCCTGCCATTTTCTACCACCTAATCTTCAGTTCATCCAAAGCCAGCTGTCCATATCCTGTCCCACAAAGTTCCACTCACCCATATCTCAAAGCTCCTGCAGCCATGCATTTGACCACCCCCTTAATTAAAATTTCTGTTTCTCTAACTCTGAACACCCCTTTCCTTTGCTACACAACTTACGGACAAATCTTCAGCTATGGGGGCCCAGTTGTGCAGGCTTTAGAATCTCCTTTAGAATTTCTTTTAAAAGGCCCTTTCCAAAACCCTTGCTGTCCAATTATGTGAAAAATGCTTGAACATTTTGTTTAAAAGGCCTGTTGCAGTAATGGCTGATCTCAATTTGATGGAGTTGTCAAACTTGGATTGGGTTTTGGCATTCAGCTGACCTATTTAAAATAAAAAGGTATTTAATATCTCCATTGAATCAACGAGAGAAAGTTATGGGGGGAGAGAGAGAGAAAAAGAATGAAGCGGGAATTTGTGCTAATACACTAATTAAAATGAAATGAGGAAATGAAAATGAATATTTTCAAAAGAAACAAAGATAGGAAGGTAACTGTACAGAAAACAGGAGGAATTAAATTCCTAAGTATTTTCAACTAGATACTGTTAATTTTAGAGGCAAGTGTGTCTCAAAATAGAAATAAATATGTACATTTTAAAAAAGGTAAAACATACACTGCATGTGAATTCAATTTAATTTGAAAATTGGGCAAATGGAAATTATATTAATAAGATTTTTAAGGGGTAATTTTCTTCAACTGCCCAAGCTAATGCACAAATTTCATATATCCTTCCTTAAAAAACCCTTTCTATTCATT